AGAAAATAAAGTGATAAAATAATTACCGCAAGATGGAGCCTTTATAAAAATAATTTTTTAACATAAATTAAGCGATTGTTTAACAACAAAATATAAATAAAAAAAATTTTTTATTTTTGATTATATGTAAAGAACATAAATTTAAAAATGATGTAAAAGTTTTTTTTTTAATTTTCTGGAAGAATAAATTAATTGATATATTACAAAAAAATTATAAAATAAAATATAATTCACGAAAGCATAAAAGTTTATAAAAAATATGAAAATTTATTTTATATCATTAAAAAAAAATTATTGGCGTAAAAATATAATATTTTTAATTTTAAATTTAAACCATTCTTTACTCTCAAAATGATAAAATAAAATTATTTTTATACGTTACTATGAGTTTAATTAATATTTGGAAATGATTAAGAGATCATAATTCTTAATTTAGATAAACTGCCAAATCTGGAAAAAATAGGCACACAAACAAAAATATGTAATTTGGCTGTGACACTAGATGAGGGGTTTTAAACTCTGCATTTTTCTTCGTCCTCCCGATTGTAGAGAATTTGATGGGGATGAATATTGACTTTATTCTCCAATGATTTCTGATTCGGAAATATTATTATAACAATGTGTTGAATATCTATTTAATAAATTAAATATTATCATAAAATTTATGGGATGGCTAAAAGGGCAATAGGTTAGTCAGTAAAATATATGTCAATCAGATCCTATAATTAGCATATCAGAATTTTATGTATAATAAGAATAAATTTAAGCTGTCGGTCCCTAAATATAATTTGTACATGACATGAGTCAATCTTTGTTAGAAGCAGGAACAAGTGAACCGTAACGAATCGTTAAACCATTATAAACCGTTATAAATATCTGAACCACAACCGTAACCGAACCGATATGATTATTTTTTGAAGGAGTAAAAAGAACCTTTATAAAAACGGTGAAACCGGTGTTTTTATATTTTAGAAATGGAAGTAGTTTGAATATCTTGAATTATATAAACTTTCTCTTATAGTACCGGCGGTTCCCGCAACACAAGTTTCTGTAAAAAGGGCTCCTTCGGGTTAAAATTTGTGTTATCGTAACAACGAACTAAAAGGAATCCATTTATAAGATAATAGATTACTTATACGTTTAAATAATATATTTAAAAATGAGTTATTTTGAATCTTATATATTTTTTTATATATAATTCATACATGAATATAATAAAAATAAATTAGAAGATGATGTTGCTTCAAAAAAAATTCTAACCGTAAAGAACCTTTATAAACCTTTATTATTCGCTGCACCGAATCTATATCTTCTTAAGTACCGTAACCAAAATGTAACCATTATAATTTTTTACATACTGAACTATAACCAAACTGCACCGCTATAAATAACGGCTCGGGTCCCTGGGTAGAAGGTATCGTCATAAGTAATGACATTCCTTAAGAAGGAGTAGGAAAAACATTATATAAATTTTTTTTTAAATAATTGACCACGTTAGAAAAATAAATAAATTATTTTGGCACAATTTTTGGACCAGACATCTGACAAAATTCTTATTATTTTTAAATAATTTACAACACTAATCTTGCTAACATTTCATAATGGATTCTATTAATAATTAGAAACCTGTAAAAAATATTATTTATCCAGAGATTTATATATTTATTCAAACAATAAGTAAATGTAATTACGATATAAAATTTAGGGAGTTTCTAGTAAGATAAACTAACATATAAAAACAGCCCGGATTTTAGCTAAAATAATATTATGCATGATGCATCGAGATTCGGTAAATAGGGTCTAAGCATTTTTTCCAGCTATGCGCAAAATCTTTAAACATATGACCCAATTTGCTTTTTAACAAACACTAAATTTGGGATTGATTAGCTATTTAAATCGTAACTCAATAGCTATTAGTCTGATATCATTATTGGGCTTTTGAAGTGCATTAGCCTAGCACCAAAGAGGATAGGAGAAACAAAATTTGGAACATCACCGTTTAAAATTCTGTTTCAGAAGTTTGATAATTTAGAAAGAATTGAGCATGTAGGGGGGGGGGGGAGTGATGTCCTGGAGAAAAATGGGGCAGGAAGAAGAGAGGAAGAAGAGCTTTCTTCTTCTTAAGTAAAAAGAGAAGCACAAGTTGAGTGAGGTTGAGGGGAAATTGGGATAATGTTAGCAGTGGAGTGTTTTTGACTAATATATAAGTGGACATGGAAGGCTCAGCCAGAGAGTCATGTGTGGACACCAATCTGAGCGCTCCTTTAATATTGAGATTGTCAATTTTTTTGCAAATCAGATTGGCCTTCATCTCTATTTGTGGGTGTTTTCTTTTATTTAAGACAGGCTGTGTCATTTTGTATTCATGAAGATGGGGAGTCTAATCGAGGCAGCATCCTTGATTTGCTGAGTAAGGGATTTAGGTGAATTTTTGTCAGGCACTCTGAAGGTATTATATTCAAGGAATAGGAATTTTAGCCATTCATGCTAAATGTATATTTTATATACATTAGCCACATGAACATGAAATATATATAAGCTTATCAATATCAATACAAATTTGGATATCCTTTTTTATTTAATTGTTTTCTTCGCTACTTGAAATTTGAAAAGTTTGCATAATCGTCTAAATATATTTTCATAACATTTTTCAAATTTATTTCAAAATTTAGCAGGATTATAGCAAATATTATATATTAAAATGGATTAAATAAGTTCTATTATATATATACATTGGCCAACATATTTTAGCAGAAAATATGGCCTAAGCCTCAAGATTTCGATAATATATGTCTAGACCTTTGTTCCTTCCATGAACAAAATCATCAGGAATGCGTAATATATTTTTCTGGATGAAATATTGAGTTAGCCGTTTTTAAAACAACCCTAGTTCTATTTCTCTCAATATATTTAATATATTTCAATATCAATTTTCGGCATATAATTTCAAAAATATTATTAAATGATAGTTTTATATCTTTTTTAAAATATGTTTATTTAGTAATAGATTTTTGTTAAACCTTGTAAAAAACATAGACTTATTAAAATAAAGGGGTTGCAAATGTTCAATATGGAGATCATTATAAATGAGGTAATCTTTTTAAATCGTTGAGAAGTCTATGTTAATAAACAAGTAAGTATATGTTCCAATATTTATAATTTTTATTTTATTCGCCAATAAAACATGTCCCTATTCTTTCTCGTTATTTTTTAAGGAAGAGTATACATCTCTCAGATTGTTGGCATATGCTCAAGCTCAAAATGGAAGAAAAATTTGCGATAGGATTAGTTGATATATCTTCTTGACCATGGATTCAAACCTAACCCGAACCCGGAGAAGAAAACCGAGTTTTTGAAAAAAATATGAACCCGAACCGAACCTGTTTATAAAATTTTCAAAACCTCGACCCGAACCCGTAAATTTTATTTTACATCGCAACTGGGTTCAGTGTATTGTTTAAAATCATATATTGAGATTTTTGTATAATAGTAAATACAAATATTAATAATTAATTTAATTGAAATTTTACAAATTTCCAATAAAGTGAAGTGTTAATAAATTTTAAACAACTTAATTCATTTGCACCATTAATTTTTAATGAAGGTGAAAACAAGTCAAAGTAAAAATTATTATATTGAATATTGTTAATTCAAGGAATCTTAAAATCCTTAAAAATTGTTAAACAAAGATGTAGGGCAGTTTTTATAAACTTTTGTATTTTCAACTATACTTAGCCTATAAATAAAACAAAAAATTTATTTTTTACACCAAATTTATGTCTAAATTTTTTTAAATTATCATTTATAATAGAATTTTTTTTTGTCAATTCAGAAAATTCTTAAACATGAGCTGAACCCGAAACCAAACCAGGGTTCGAAAATATTTATCTATACCGCCGAGATAACCTATTTTTTTAACCTTAAAATGAACCCTAACCGAAATTGGTCAAAAACTTCGTTGGGTTCGCATCCCTCATCTTGATTATTTATAAACGTATTTTTTTCCTCCATTTTGTTACCCAAAATTTCTCAGAATAAAATATTTTAATTATATTTCCAATATTAGTTCTGAGAAATGTTACATTACAAAAAAAAATTCATTTCACCGAAAAGAAAAAACAAGTGTTGGCGCGTTATTGTCAATTCAAATTTTTAAGTCTATATTTATTACATCCCTGCTCTTGATTATTTATAAACGTATTTTTTTTCTCCATTTTGTCACCCAAAATTTCTCAGAATAAAATATTTTAATTATATTTCCAATATTAGTTATGAGAAATGTTACATTACAAAAAAAAACTCATTTCACCGAAAAGAAAAAACAAGTGTTGGCGCGTTATTGTCAATTCAAATTTTTAAGTCTAGATTTATTATTTCATTTTGTAAAAAAAAAATATATATACATATACAAATAATTTGACATATCAGCTGATTGCAATCCGATTTTTATTTATAAAAGATATGAATAATTTATTTTTCATAATTTTCCACGTTTGACACTAATTGTTGATAGTTTGATTTAACCAATCAAAGCGCATTTTTACATCCGTCAAAATACAAATACTCATATTAGAAATTCCCTTCGAAATTATGCCGTGTAACGTGAAGATACCGTTGTCAGAGCAAACTAAAGGTCCCCCCGAATCGCCCTTTTTTATTGTTTCAAAATTTTAATTAAGATGCAATAGATATAAAATTGAGTTCATTTTTTTTATTTGTTACAAAAAAACAAATGAGTTTTACAATTTAACAGCTGATCAATCTCAAATTTAGGTTGTTAAGGAGTCCGATTCGGGTCGATGTTAAAAACCGACCTGATTAAGATTATAAAAATGACATTATGTATGCCTAAAGATTTTTCAAATAAAGCTGGCTGAATTCTTGGAACCCTATTTGCCAAATCTCAAAATCTAGATGTTTCTTGCACAACTAACATCTTATGAGTCGTTTTGAAAAATCGACCCTAACAACACTGCCTAAATCATTCTTATTTAGTGGAACTACTCTTCTTCCAAAGCCGTTCCCATAACTACAATTTATTTTTAAAACAATAATTAAAATAAATATTATATTATTTTAAGAGTCTTTAAACATTCATTATTATTATTATTACAGAAATATTTTTATTATAATGGTTCGGTTCTAAGTGCCGATGAATTTTTTGTAATTTAAGATATTAAATAGAAATCTTATAATATATCTATACCGGTCCACAATACCCCGCGCTATAATAATGATTTGATATTCCGCAAAAAACATTTTCCGTTTTAATCATCCTTACTTCTCTCATCGACAAATCCTTCTCCCTAAGACATCCCGCCTTTTCTATCGGTCTCATGCAGGTCTCCCGCAAAATATTTGAAATCGTAGCGTTATCTATTCAAGTTTCACCGATAAATTAAAAAATTTTTTTGTCAATACCATAAATTTAAATAAATATTACATTTAACATATAATGGCCGCCGGCCCTAAACGAACTGGGCTTCTATGTTCACCTTTGGGTTGGTTTTTTGAGGCTTAAGAGATAGAATATAAAGTATACCGAGTAGAAGAGATCTGCAAAGTTAGGCCCGGCCCGTAACCGGCCCTAAAAAACTCGGGGCCGGGTCGGTTCGGACCTTAGAAATTTTTTTAAATATATCTAAATTTAACATTTTTATATTGATTAAAAATATTTGATTTTATTTATTCAAACTAAACAACACATAACATATGTCTTTTATTTTGAGTAATTATAAAAATTAATGGCCGAGTCGTAGATCACTATTGAATAATATATAACCTAATAATGATTTTATTCTGAATATTTATACTATAATATATAGCTGTTCCAAATAAATTTAGAATGCTTAACCTTAATAGCTACACGGTTCTTATAACTAATATAAATAAATACTAGAGTTTATATCATACGAAAAGATATAATAATACAAAATTTGATGATTGGTCTTCAAATTATCAAGAAGTTCAAATCAGAAAAAAAAATGTGTATTGATATTTTAATAATTTACAAATTACTATCATTTAAGGTGAATTCTTCAAATATTTACTAAAAAATATGTAAAAATAATATATGGTGTTTATTTATATTATATTATATTATACAAAATGAAATTTAAAAAAGAAACGAACGTAAACGCGTTTTTTTTTGTGAAGTTGAGCGTTAAACATAAACGCGTTCAATTTTTTTGGAATTACGGCAATTCACAGTATCGATTTTATGTTTTCGAAGCGGGAAATATATGACAACGGTCGTCTTACACGTCATTATATATAGTTAGCATATGTTACGTAATGACTTCCCCATGAAAAAAAAATGACAATAATCAATTTTAAACATAGTCGGTTTTTAATGGTACATCAGAATCTTAGAAATCGAAAAAAAGCTAGAGACCAGAAGCAGGGACTCTAGGAAATAAGATAAATCCTGCAACCATAAACGAAAACAATCTATTAAAATTTAGGAAAACTAAAGTAGGAACCGGTTCGAACAAAAGTGTAGCCCTATATGCTGTCTAAAATATTATGTGACTCATTTTAGAGAGAAACTATGACATGAAGACCGTGTAAAATCAATGAACTTATAATAAAATTTTATGAAACGGAAATTGAATCATAACCCAAGTGACAAAATATTAATTCCTTTCCTTGCCAATATGATTTTACTTACCATCGTATAGTCCCCATCCCAACGTGTAACAGTTAGGTCCCAATTTCTCGATCATCGTTTCAGGTTGTGGCAAGCAAATTTTGTCTAGCCAGGGTTCCTCATTTAGATTAAAACTCCCTTCAATCTTCAAAATTGCTAAATCATTTCCCGGTCTGCCCTTTATATAAGAAGGGTGGATAGTGCAGTTTTTCAGACTTTTCAACTTCGTGTCTTTGTCTATTTTTTCCGCTATATTGACATGACTCCCTACCATTAGGGTAACATTTTGTAGGTTCGGTCTTTTTTTGAAATGCAAAAAAAGAATAGTAATTTTATTATAAAAATTTGAGATATGATATATTGAGCTCCTGTTTTATGGAATCTCTCATATTAAATAATAATATTTACGGACATCAAATATTGTTATTCGAATATTTTTTTTACTATTCGATATCGGTTATAAAAAATTATTTGATTCGAATATAATAAATTTAGAATATTGGAATAGCGGATATTCGTTAGGAACACAAGGTGACATAAATCTAGATTTTTTTTAAAACTTGATATTGAAGCAATGGGCGGCAGTTAACACGTGATGTTGGCTCACTATGACTCCACCACAAACGCCAATTCTAGATGCGTTATTTATATCCATATATGACATTTCTATTCGAACCTTGTGAAAATAAACATATCAAAGTTTATGTTTGTTTGGTTTGTTTAGGTATTCTGCCTTAACGCCATCATAATATATATTTTTCTTATTCTTTTTTCAAATTCATAAATAATTTATATTTTAAAATAGGCAGGCGATAAGATGCGAAAACTAGATTTTATGCAAGTATTTACAGATAGTCATGGCTTTATCTAAAAATCTCAAGGGAAAAGAAGGAAAAGCAAACCAAGTTATTAACCTAGTAATCCTATGCTAGCCGTTATAATCGAAATTTAGTAAATTATCGCTTCTTATTAAAATGGTTCATTTAGAATGAATGTTTATTTACTTATTTAAATGTAAAATTAAAACTTGACGAAATTTTTTTCCCTCTCTCTCTCTTTCTAAAATAACGGAAATTGTAAGAAAACGGTTATTATCTCTTATATTACTATAACCTAATAGTGCGAGCAAATTGAGATTTTCCGCCGCGTTTCAAGCGAAAATAATGCCATTTCAAATGGCCTCGTGCATATTGGCAAAATACCGTTTGGCGTTAGCAAACATTTAAAAAAAAACAAGTAGTTTGCTTTTTCACTACTTTTTTGATTCTTCGCTATGTTTAAAAATGTAATATAAATAAACTTATTTAATATCCTAAAAAGGAATATTTAGGAATTAAAGAAATAAGAAGGCATACAAGAATATAATTTTCAAACTTATTTAAAATTTTGAATCGACGGATATTAATAAAAAGACAAGCTCAATTTACAAGGGACGCGTTAAGTTTTTCTATATTATTAAAAATAGAAATAAATATTTATAGATAAATAGGACTTCTCCCTTCTGTTTTATATAAATAAATTTGAAGGAAATTCAAACCATCCAAGGCCAATTGCCTTTTTTTGATTCTAAGCCGTTCCAGATTTTCATGGTCTTTGAATTCCGGCAATTCCTTAGCGTCGGAAGTCCTAAAGTTCTTCCACAGTTTGTTTCCTCTTTAGTTAAAAGAGGGAGCGAGTTAATATAATGAAATATGTTTAATTTTAAAGGATTGCTTTTTAGGTTTAGAAGGATAAATGTTTCTTTCTTTCATTCTTTTTCTTTTTTTCTTTCATTCAACAAATGTTTCTCATGAATATAAAAAATATATTACTACGAAACTATAATGGCATTTTTTTTATACAGAATGACATTTTTTTAAAAAAAAGAAGTTAATAAGATACTTCAGAGTTCAAATAAATTTAAACGGATACTATTTTTGTATCTTTTTTATGCTAAAATTTACTTTATAAGCTAACAAGACACTTTTGTTAATAATATTAAAGTTAAATACATTTGAAATAATATATTATATACTATTTACCCGGGTTTATTGCCAGAATCAATCCAAAAATTGTGAGACAAATCCATAAATTTCTAGAATGTTTCATCATTTATTTTAAATGATAAAATTTTCTTTTAAATTATTTGATTAATAAAACAAACAAATCCTTATTTGACATTTTTCTCCAAATTTAGCTTTTGTAATATTATCCTTCTTTTTTTTCCTGTGCGTGACCTCCGGAATTTTATTTTTATCACATTTAGTTGAGCAGACGATTTTAAAAGCTAGTAATGTCAACGCGCAGCCGCAGTGCACTTTTTTTATAAGTGCTTTTAAAATAAATATTTTAAAAATATACATAGGCAATTTGTTGGTTTTTTATGAAATTATTATTTTACAAAGCAATTATTGTTTTAGTGTAACTTAGGTAGCTCAAGGACCTAAGTTTCAAGTAGAATTCAGATGGGACTGATCTTTTTTTTCTGAAGAAAATTCTTGTTATTCACGGTTTGCCACGGACTTCTACACAAGAAATCCAAATCAAAAATACTCGCCTCCAATTTTATTCATATGAAGAGAGGACCGTCATTACTATCTACCCTCCCACCCTTTAATTTCAATTACAATGTTGGGTCGTAACCCACACCCACTCTTCAGGATAAGAATACCTAGGCGAAGTATGGATATTAGTAGATACAAAGCCAGAGCATAGTTAAGACTAAGTATTCATTCATTAATATATAAAAAATATACAGATTACAATTCACATATATTCAGGGCTTCAAACCGGACCTAGAAAAGCGATCCCGGGTCTGTGAAAAAATATTTTTAATCCGATCCCACATTTTTTTTTGCCTTTGAACAGGATTCGATTCTAATCCTTGAAGTGTTCTTCTATCGGGTTCAGAACCTTGAATTTATGAATCAAATATTAGCCTCCTAAGAATAGATTCTAGCCGACGAGAAAAAAAAGGAAGGAACGTTTAATACATCTTCATCCGAATAATATATGTATATATATATATCATGCATACCATTCATTTATTTTAGTAATAAATCTAAATAAATGATATTATTTTACTTTTTTTTAATGATACTCCCACCCAACAGTGAAGGACTGACCATAAGATCTAATGGATCATTTTGTCTCAAGAGGGGAAAAATGATAAGCATAAGATAAAAAATCCTATAAGGTTGGGAAGCAGGGATTTTAGGGTTTCTATCTACAGAATTTGTCGAGGGCATAAGGCCTATAGTCGCAACAAAAAAAATTTCTTCCAAATTGCAATTCCGATATTTAATACGTTTGTAATAAGTCTAATTTTATATTGTGAAATATTGAAAATTTTATGTGCGCGCGCATTAATCTCTTATATAATAAAATATAACACGTGATCTATATCGTGTTATCATTAGCCCCAGGCAAAAAACGGAAGTGGGAAGTATTAGGGCGAATTTCTCCCATGGGAATAATACCGCTAGGAATATTTATCACGCGAGACCACAGCAACTCCAATCCATCCCTGACCTCCAAAGGGCCGATATACAGCATCGTCAATAATGTATTTCGGTATAACTGTCCTGGGTCTCGTAATTGGTCACCAAAAGTAAATCACCTCAGGAAATGTTGTTAATAATTAAACGCACTAACCGACCCGAAATCGGGTACCAGTTTACCGGATAAACATTTTATGGTACAGTCGGTTTCGGATCTTGAAATCGAGATCTATTTTCGAACCTGGAAACATTAAATTTTAAATTATTTTGTTTGTTTATTATTCATCGGTGCCTATATATTATTTTTATTTTTTAGTTTGAAATAGTACATTTTTTCAATGGTCTAATAAAAAACGAAGATGATTTTGATTGGATTAGACTAGGAGCGGTTTCAAAAAATGAATGATTGGATGGTGATAAGGATCTGTCTTATATAAAATGTATATGAAATATATTTGAAAGGTAATTTATAATATATTTCGATCCTTATTTAATATTTTTTTGGAGGGGAGTTACTTATAACCAATATACATAAATATAATTTCAATAATCAATATTTATTTAAATATAATTAGTCATGATAACCAAATTACATAATTTTTTCTCTTATAAAATTTAATATAATTACAAAAATTTCAAAAATTGAACTTCAGATAAAAAATCAAAAAATATACTTACAAATATGAATTCTATTATAATATATTAACTCTTAATGCTATGTTACAACATGCGATTTATTAAATAACTCCGCGAATTGTGGTTCAGAATATAATGAGTGATGAATGACATATTTTTTTTTTAATTTTTGACATTTCTAATCATTTAGTTCCACTTTTACGCTAACAATTTTCTTTAACCCTGTGCCAATGTGGATGATGTAATCCAATCCAAATTTCGCCTAACATCACAAAAGATGCAAATGTCCGAGATCCCTTTCGATATGATTCCATATAGAGTGTAGGTATGATTTTTTTCACAAACCATTGGACCTCCAGAATCACCCTATAAAATATTTTTATATTTATTAATATTCTTTCTTTTTTTTTCTTTCTTTCTTTCTTTCTTTCTTTTTTCTTTCTTTTTCTTTCTTTCTTTTTTTTCTTTCTTTCTTTCTTTTTTTTTCTTTCTTCCTTTAATTAAATAATATCATTTTTTTGGAGGGGGGGGTGCTCAATTATTTGTTGTGGTATGCTAAACCCGATAATCCATTTCCATGTATTCGAATAGTGTATCGTATGCAAATATATGAAATGATTCACAATATGAAAAATTAGCTTTATTTTAATTTTCTTAGAGGATATGGATTTGGCGTTGTTAAAGATAGGGGGTTTGAATAGGGTATGTTAGGAAATTCATAAATCTATCATTCGATATATATATTTCGCAGACCTAGAACGCCCACAAACAAAACCCCAAAGAACCAAAATGAATGCCATATGTTTTCAATTTAACCCGTAAACCATTTAAAAACCGAGAGCCTACCCGGTTAGAAAATATAAATTGACAAAATTGTAGCGGATTTTTATAAAAAAAAATACAGGTTCAGAACCTAGAAATAGGTTCTTCTGCAAATTTCCGATTGATAAATCTGCGCAATAGGAGCTAAAGATGAACTACGCTCTACATTTGATTTTCCAACTGATTAATTGATATAATTTACAAATATAAAATATCAAAATGGCTCCGGTCTCACATAAGCTCCGTATTTTATAATTTCTTTTTACTCCAGTCAGAATAAAAAATCTCGCTAATTTTTGGCCCGTTCCGGGACTAGTTGAAGGATGTGCTTGCATCCTACAGATCTTCGATTTACTGTATCTTTTGTTTGTTAGATTTACAATCCAAGGCTGTGCAAAATATTTTCAGGAGAATCGTTTTTTTTTTAAAAAAAACACTTAAATTGAATACACCGTTTTTTTTAAAAAAAACAAACCTTATTTAATAGTTGAAAGATTTTTTTTGATTTTTGTTGATCATTAATTTTTAATTTTTAATATAAAAATACTAAAATTTATTTAATTTAAAAAAATCTATTTATAGCTAATTTAAAAAGGATAACTAAACAAAATTTAGTAATTACAAAATAATTTTAAAAAATGTAACAAAAAAATGGTAAATATAAGCAACATTTTAAAAATAATATATTGTTTAATAGTATTTTTTTTTAGGTGAAATTGATTCTTTCTTTAAATTTGTAAAATTTTCAATTCCCTTCGATTTAAAGCTTGTTAGATAACAACAAAATCTATTTTGCATTATAAAAACATCAAAAAAAAATTTAACGGTCGTTGGGTTACCTTATTTGATAGTAGCTGATAATAGTGATCTGCATAGAGCTTAATTTTTTAGGCCCAAGAAGGAAAGAAAGAAAGAAAGAAAGAAAGAAAGAAAGAAAGAAAGAAAGAAAGAAAGAAAGAAAGAAAGAAAGAAAGAAAGAAAGAAAGAAAACGGCCCTAATTTATTTAAATATAGAAATTAATCTTTATAATTACTCAAAATAAAAGATATATGTTATATGGCGTCTAGGTTTTTGTAAATAAAATCAAATATTTATATTTTACATAAAAAATTCAACATAACATTGATAAATTTAGATATATTTTTAAAAAAATTCCAAAGCCCAACCCGACCCGGCCCGAATTTTTTATCCGGGCCGTGACTACATTTACAGATCTCTTGCTGATATAATATGTTATCAAAAGGTAATAAGCGCATATAAATATAATTTGTTTTTTCTAAGATAAAATTTGTAAAGGTGGAAACAAATATAAGAAATAGAATTTTCGAAAAGGATAAGGGAAATAAAATAAAATGGAAACTATGAAAGAGAAGGAAAGAATAAAATATAAAGAGCTAAAACTTAGATAGTTAGAGCGAATAATGGCGGTAGTAAGTCTTTTGTCGTAAGAAAATGGATTCCTTAAACTGGTCGGTTTTTTTCACGAATCCGTTTGCCTAATACTTTAAAATTTGAATATTCATTAATAGAAATTTACAAAGTAACTGGAAATGTAACCAGTTACATTTTAATTATAAAATACCTTTCCAACAACACTGAATAAAGATAAATAAATAATATAAACTTGTGTCAAAAAATAAAAAAACTAAACTCATCTCTTGTTTCTCTAAAAGTCAGACGGAAAAAAAATTGTTTTTCTTTACTTCACCGCAAAGACCGTTAAAGCCGTCCTGATCATTAACGGGCATTCCGCAAAATATGGGCGACCTCTTGATAATATTCTTCATATTTTTACTAAGAGTTTCGATCTCGGAGCATTTTCCCCTGTCCACGTACTTCATGCACGTTTCCCTTAGGGTGACCGATGTTTCTGCCTTAGTCGCTTTTGCAAAATAAATAAAAATAAAGTAAAATAAATATTTCCAAATAATTTAAATTGATATCACCCCATAATGGAATATCAGAGGCCTGCAGGACCGGTCCTAAACTCGACCCGGATTCGGGCTTGAGAATGAAACCCGGGTCGGGTTGTGCCGCGCTAATGATTATCTGCAGTTCTCTGTGAAATATACAAAAAAAAGCGTTCGAACGCTCAGAAAAATGGCCAATTTGTGTGTTGTTAAATGAGATATAATAATAGTTTAATTATATTTTAAATTAATTTTTCAAAATTAACAACATAGTAACTAATATGGGTGATTTCATTGTAAATTGTAATTAGCATTTTAGGCGGGTGGGGGTGGAGGCAGGGATTATAATTTAAATAACCAGTTTTTAAAACAAAAATATTAAATAATATTCTATATAAATTAGTTTTTTTTTTTTTGTAAAAATAAACGAAATCTAACATTCTTTCACCTTCGTATTGCCCCCATCCCATAACATAACAGTTGGAATTGGCGTATACGCTTTCATCTTTAGTGCTAGGCAAACAGACTCTGTTGATGGAGTGATCTTCCGCAATTTGGAATTCCTCGTGGATCCTTATCAGAGCCAAATCGTGATTGGGTAATCTTTTCGCGTATAAAGGATGTCTAGTGTAATTGTAAACGCTCTTTGTCTTGAATTTGTCATTCGTTATACGGCGCTCGCTTCTGACGGTCACGCCGTCAAACTTGGGACTAAATGTAATCGTATAATCAGATGGTAATTCAAAATTATAAAAGGAAAGAATAGTGGAGAGATGACGAAAGGTAAAAGGGTTCGATATAATAGAAAATAAAATGCGAAATGTTACTTTTTATCGAAACAATGGGCAGCGGTTAATACATAAAATGGGCTGATTATAACCCCACCACACAGTCCTTTATAGTAACTGCCATTATGCCAGGAAATGGTTATGATCGTTACCTTTTTCCATTTTATTTTCAGAATAAAATTTTTTTAAATGTATTTGATCAAATAAACCCCGCCTTGACAGTTAGCGCGAATTTCCGCGGCGAAATTCGACCTCTGCGAATTACGCTCATTTTACATGATTAGGGCGTTGTTAGCCACTTATCGAAAATTTTAAATACTTTGTCATATTCCATTAGTTAATATATATGTTAGCTACAATGTGTTATTTTTTGTTCAACTCTAAAATCATTTTTTTGAGCGGGCTTATGCCGTCATGTTTGTTTGGAATACCTAACACTAATAAATTTCAGACAATTTTTTCATAAATCATTAAGCCTAATATAATTTATATCATATTTTCCATACATTATTTTTTTATATTAATAATAAATGACTCAAAGGTTAACGGCAAAATTGTCCGAAATTCATAAAGATGGGCATTTCAAAATCTGGTAGAATATATTCGGGGTGAAATCCTATTTTTAAAATGAATGATTCAAAGTTTGCAAAAATAACACAATACCGGAAAAGATTACACATCGATGCTGAGTGATATAAAATAAAGTTATTAATTTATTTTACCATCCAAGGCCAGGAATCAGCACGTGACACTAGTCCCTTGACGATATGTTGATATATAAGATGGCATCTAGGATTCAGGGGTCTCCTAAGACTCCTTCCGCAAGTTTTATCCTGATTATCCTTAGTTTCCGGGCATGATCCTACGATATCAAAGAAGGAGAGTTGAAATTTTTTTAAGGGTTTTAAAAAAAAGCCCTACGATTTCTATAATTTATTATACGCCCAAAAAAAATGGAATATTTTTATTGTTCTTATATAATGTTATTTACAATATGTTTTATTTAAAATATAAATATGTATATCGAAAGGGGATATGTAATCCGTGGGGATTCGGAATCTCTTGATTAATCATTTACTAAGAGAGATTTTTAGATTTTGAAAAATCTGATTTTACAGGAATTGTATTTCGGCATGTGTCAAACAATTATACAATGAACTTTAGAAACTATACTCCTAATTTATAATAATTTTTATAATGGATTTTTCATATAAATTAAAAAAAATACCAAAATGTTTATGGCCGAAATTGGCTGAAATTTATAGGGTAAATACTCTTACACATGCTAGAATACATTTCTGTTTAAATCTGATTTTAAAATTTTCTAAATCTCCCTCAGATTCCATATCCACATACGACATATATATATAACTAAAATCAATATTATACCTAGAACGGCTGGAATAACATTTTCGTTATAGTATATCAATAAGGTTGCCAACTGAAAGATAGTGTATATCGTAACTTTTATACGCATTTTAAAAGTATAAGCTTAATATCTAATAGTTAACTTCCTATTTTTAAAAAAATAAATAATATATAAATCTAATATTTATATAAATTATCAAAAGTATATTCTAAAATTAAATTTTGGCCTGTTTAATTTTTTTTAAATTTTTTTTCTTTTTATATATAGAGCTTTTAAAAGGATATTTTATCAAAATTTAAGGCACATTTTTAGGGAAAATAAATAAAGAAGAGGTTTTTTAATATCATCTATAACCCCCTTAAACAAATATATAAAAAATGAATGACCTTCTTCCTATCTATCCTCCCAAAAAAAATATATAAATCAAAGTTACTAAAAACTACAAATCTTTTAAAATTCAGTCAAAAAAAAAGAAGAAATTAGGCACTACCCGTTCGATATTTTTACTAAACAGAGTTTAAACTAGGACAATGTAGTTTGTTTTAAGTGTTTGGTGAAGTAGTTTTTTTCTCGTTTTATTGTTTGTTTTTTTTGTTTTATTAGTTTTTTTCCTCTCTTCTTTAACTATTTAACGTAATTTAGCCGAAATTATGTAGCCAGCTGTTTAGTAATAAGTTGAACCAAAAGCGCACCCTTAAAACTAAATTTATATAAGTCTATTAGGTTAATATTGCCCATTATTTATTTTAAAAGACAAAGATAAGTTTGCCCGGGAGAAAAGTCCACAAAATGAGATTATTACCCTCTCCCAATAACATATAATAATACCTATAATGAATATGCGTTCATTAATAGTGTACATCAATGAAAACAGCTGGGGACGCCATTTTGATTATCCATATATCATTATTAAAAATTTAAAACGAGAGGCCAATTTATTCCCTATGTCTGACGCAAACTTTATTAAAGAATTTCTTGATCATCGAGATAATGAGGAAGCAAGTTATCAATTTAATAGTAGCTATTAACATGAGAATAATTACTTTATGGGCTATCAAAATGGCGGGTTCAGCTGATCTGCATTCAATGACGCTTTGAAATGCATTATTATGAATGCATCGTCAGTCTAGTTAATAAAAATCTGATTAGGCAAAATGAATCATTTTATTTATTTATTTTTTTATTAAAAAGTAACTAAATAAATTTTGAGTTAATTTTGCTAATCAGGTTAAGAACTAAACAACGCGAGTTAATTAAAACAGAAATCGAATATCGAAGATTAGAATATTCTACGTTAAATGATTGTTATTTAATCAGATGTTTTTTGGAGCTGTACGAAAAAGTTTATAAGTGGTAAATTAGTTTCAGAATATTCACTTTACATTTTTTCCCTGACAAAGTTCCTCTGTCAGAACGTTTTTAGAATCAGTTTAGACATGTTTTGAATTAAAATATTTTATTTTATGCATTTTGACGATTTAACACTTTTGGGTGGATCCTATGTTTGGGGGAAAAATATCGTGTCAATTTTTTTTAAATGTGTTTTTTTTGGAAAGGAGTAAGGGAAAATCAATCTGGGGCAAGTTGCCTCCAATTTTTTTCCATCTTCTGAGGACGCTGAGCTTGGGTTAGTTTGCATTGTTAAAAGAAATAGGTGTACCAAATTTGAACATCGTCTCGTCTTACTTGGTTCGCGCCTCAAAACTGAGCGCCGAAAATGGACTTAACTCCTTGAAGTATTGGGCCCCTTTTTTTAGCCTATCGGTTAGTCGTTTTGAAGAAAAAGGGTGAGATATGCCCATAACACGGGCATTCCGTTGAAAAAGGGAATTTCCAACCTCTCATCTAGTGAATCATCGCTTTCGTCAAGGGAAATGTTCACAATTCCACTTGGTGTAGACTTTTATTTGTTAAAATTATAATATATACACATTATGTACATAATTATTATAAACGATTAAAATAAAAATAATGATTAATTGTTATTCCTTTAAAGAAGGGACCTGGAATAACAGAATTTGCGTTTCTGTTCCGGCTAAAAAGTGGTTCGCTCGAGGCTCTGGAACGTTCTTAGAAAAATAGGATAAAATATACCTTATTATATTTATATTTTTAGCAGACTAACCTATATTTGCAAAGGATTATAAAATCCCAGATATTAAATACAACCTTCACCTGCCAAAATTATGAATCATAATGACAAATACACCATGTATATACATAAAATTACTTAATATATATGTATATATATATTTATTATTAATTAAACATTTTATTTCATTAATTCTTCATTTTTAATCCTTAGTATCAATCATGTTACATATTCGTAACGACTTATTTTTTTTATTTTTTAAAGCCTTAATATAATTTTCCATTTTAGATAATGACTGTTAAAGGCGATCGTGTGATATATTAAATTAAACTTTGATATAATGTAAATTGAATATATTAAACGTAATTTATATGATAATATATATATATATATATATATATATACATATTAATTGAGAGAAAAATAGAAATTTATCATAGAAGTTTAATATCTTAATAAAAAAAAGTTACACATCTTAGTATAAAGAAATATTATAATTCAATATTCTACACAGACGAATTCTCCCCAATATCGACGACTTTAGAAGCATTATCATCCCGAATACTGACTAATAGAGTGATATAACAATTTACAGGGCAAGACCTTACCTGTTTGTTAATAAATCAATTATCACAACGATGCGTTTAATATATTATAATAAATTATCTATATATTTTTCGGAAATTTCAGCTTCTTAGATGATTTTTTTTATTAATATCAAAAATAAAATTGTCCATTAAAAAAAATTTAATTTCATAAAAGATATTGATAAGATAAAGATTAAATTTTATAGAAAAAAAAAAGGTTATGTAAAAATGTCAAAAAAGATAAAATTATTCATAAAACAAAAATTAAATAGATATTAATTATTCATCATTTTTTTTGATTATTTTATTCCAAAATTTGTGTCTCATCATATATTCAAATAAAAGGCCAGAAAGAACACTATAATACAGTCGATTTTATTTGCATTTAGATTTTTCTCTAAAAAAATATTTTAATTTGTGCGATAAATAAACAATTTGTAATATACAATCTATTTCCAATTAAAATTCGTATACATAATATATATTTAATTTTACTATTATAATTTTTAATATATTAAATAAATTTTCAATTTTTCTAATATTGAATATCCAAAATAATTTGTATAATATGACTTTAACATCAAAACCATAAGGAATTTATTTAAATAATATAAGTCATATTGTTTTTTTTTTTTTTACAATTACGAAGAAAAGATATTATATATATATGATTATTCTTTAATTGCGGGCATTAAGAAATGATTCTCAATTGCAAATTTATAATAGATTTTAAATATTTATATACATTATTATTGCCATAAACATGATATTATCTGGGTTTTGTGCTTTACTGCTTATAAAGAAAACGATTAATTAAAAAAATGAACTAATGCGAAAATGGGTATAAATAGAGTATAATTCAAACGCAATATAATCAGTATAGTTAAATTCTATCTAAGTTCAGGTCTACGGACAGCGGATGAAAAAAATAATAACAGAAATCGCGAATATTATTGGATAAGGGTGCATCTTACGTAATGACATCTGGCTTGTCCCGTCCAGTAAATTGTTTCAACTGTGACAACTCCAAGGCTGCTTGAACCAGAGGTTTGAGAGCTTCCTGCAAAAAAAAACAAAAGGTTAAACGAAAAAGGATTAAGACCGCTGTCGCGGTAATTTTTTTAATGTCCCTTATTTTCCGGGTCAACCCTTTATATCACAGCGGTTATAGCGGTTGCGTTCGAAAATCAGTTTCGATATTCATAGCGGTACAAACGGGTATAACTTTTTTAAGGTATGGGGGGAAAGGGGTTACAAATGTTTATTTTTCTATTTTTATAATAATATATTATTTGATAAAAAAACGAATAACCATTTTTCGTCATTTGATCGTCGGATTAGTTCTTTGCCCATAATTCATAAACAGGGTAAAAATTATTAAATTTCAATTTTTTTTCCTAACCGTTATCAAAGAGATATAAAAAAAACGCGCTCAAGTCAAGAAAATGATTTAAAGTTGAAAAAATAACACATTAACGATAAATGTCACTGTTGTGGATCCTACTTATCGTTATTATTTGATGTCCCTTGTGGGGTAAAAAAAAAAGGATGTGATGTTCTGTAGATGGGGGCACAGCTTAAATAAACCTAGGAAGTAGTGAACTCAATATTAACGCCAGAAAAATTTTGCCTAAATATCGAGATTTTCTTAATAGATGTCCAAACCTTTGTTCCTTCTACAAACAAAATCTTCAGGGCTTGCGTAATAATTATTCTGAATGAAATATTGAGCTAGCCGTTTTTAAAAATCGGTTCAAAACGAGCCGTTTAACAACACTACTAGGAAGGGAAAGGCGTCTTATCAGTTAGATGGGAAACGTGTCATAACTGAATGGCACCTCAACATCTTTGTCCGTTCTGAGTGGAAATGTATGGCATGGCATGTGATGTCACCTAATAAAAATTCAAAATCGTTTTTATTTATACATACTGTCATAGTGGTATAACTCTTATAGCCCACCCTCCTCCCAAAAGGGGGGTCTATATTTTATGATTTGCATGAATTATTCTTTTTTTTTAAATATGATTTTGAAGGCACATTTATTTTAAGCCAAACCAAATGGTGTGATATAAAGGATTAAGCACGATTATGATTCTATTTCTAATTTACTAACCATTAATAAATATGAAAATATCTTATTGCCGAATTAGCTTATAACAAAAATAAATTTCTTTGTATATTCTTGAATAGCAAAATAAAAATAGAAATTTCCCAACTATAATCTCCATGGAAAATCCGTTTATAATATACGATGCATTGGGAAAAAAAAAGAAGAAAACAAGCTCTTAGGGTTGGGTCAAGACTTTTTAAAAATAAACGACATATGAGAACTCCGGAAAAAAACGTTAAATAACATCACGATCGTTTAAGATCGAGGCAAAACTTCTTTTTTTAAAAAAAATATGGCCATTTGTACAGAGCTAGGATAAATTATTACTAACTTGAGCATCCACGTGATATTTTGATTTGTCGTTAACGTAGGATTCCACGTAAAGCCTAACAGTGGCACCGGTACTTCCGGTTCCACTCAGCCTCAGAATGATTCTGGACCCGTCATCGAAAATCACGCGCAAACCCTTGTTTTAGTTTTTTTTTCGCACATATGAATATATATTTCCCAAAAATATGTTTATTCAGTGTATAACCACATAGCCTCGCTTAATCTTCTTCTTAGCATTCTTTTAAAAAACTTAGAAAAGAAAAAAAATAAATAAAAGCTATAAAAGAAAGATTTATAAAAGAAATAAATAGAAGAAAAAAGAGGAAAAATAAAGAGACAAGGTTTTTTTTAAAAAAAAAAATTTTTCAATACCTGACGAGCCGTGATCGTACCATCGGTCATGTCCTTGTAAGAAAAATTATCGCTCAAAGTAACCTTTTTGGCCGCTATGGTTTTACCCACGAAACCGGGGTCGGTTATAACCTTTTCATACTGTTCCATCATTTTGTGGCAGGATTCGCTATCGCAATTTTCGTAATCGTATCTTATTTTAAAAAAAAGGATTCAAGGAAATTATTATAATGCTATATATAGTGTCGTCCATATATTTCGCACAAATTTTGGCGCCAAGAGATTTCGGGTGTTCCTCTTATTTATATTTAAAATTTTTTACTCAATATCATAAAAAGTAATTCCACAAGTTTACGGCAAAATTGTTTTCTACTCTACGCATGCTAGAATACGATTCTGGTTCAACCAGATTTTTCAAATTTTCTCCCACTCAGTTAAATGATTAAAATAAAAGAAATTCCAAATCACTATGGATTCCACATGCCAAACATATGTCACGAATAAGAATGGCAGGTTATTCTAAATTTTCTGCTTTTATTTGATGATGGGGGATAGAAATTTACATATAATTTTTTTTCCTTTTAGTCTACACTTCTATATTACCTATATCATTATTAGTTATTTCTAATTCTTACCCTACTATTAAGATATATCTTTATCAATTTAGTGGATACCAGCTTTATCCACAAGATACCGTAAGTTCTCTTAAATTAAACGGGCCCTGACAGTAGGGTAAATTACTGCCAAATAGTGAATGCAAATTCACTGCACTAGAGACGCCCTCTATAGGGTGGTGGAGTGCCCACTTAATTGTGGGATGTCTCCCCAGTGTATGACATGATAGAAATTTACATATTATTATTTTATAATGAACTATAAATAAGAAATCAATCTTTATTTTGATGAGACACTTTGAATTCAATAAATTTTCCCTTATTTTGACTGAAATATTTTAACGAAGTTTTGAATATACTTAATTTTAAGTTATCCATTTCGTACATCTCTCAAAAAAAAATTTTTTTGTCCCATATAAGTAGTGCGGTTAATTAGTCTAGTTTTTCCGACAAAGACTATATAGGGTCTTAAGGAAATCGGCTAAAAACTTTAGCGCCCAAATTAGTCGTCTCTAATTTAATTTATATTTTGATTATTAATTTATTTTAATTTTTTTTTATTGGTTTATTTTGAGCGCCTGGCTGGCGCAAAAATCTAATATTTTGTATATATATTTATTTTTTTTAAAAAAAAAATTAGGTAAGTAAGAATTAATGTTTTATGTTTTAACAAAACTTTACAATAAAATAAATGTAATAAAATTAATAATTTTATAGTCGAGGTCGACAAATTGGCTCAAAGTTTTTTTCTAGTCAAATTTTTCGATTATGAATATTAAGTTTTAGTCTAATTTTGCAAGGTGAAGTGCTTTTATACGATGGCAATTGGAAGATAGTGTACGCAAAACTCTAGCCTTAGCAGTAAAGTTATTTTTTTTGGAGAGGGGGGGGGGGATCGTAAATTGCAAATACTAAATTTATATTTAAAAAAACGTAGCCAAGAAAGATTTATTTAAGGTTTTGCATAAAAATGACACTTTTTCGAGTTATTTATGAAAATCGATATGTTAGAAAAATAGTTATTACACAAATATTTTCATAATTGAAAGATAGTGTTGTTAAACGTAGTGTTGTTAAATTACCTAACTTTGCCTCTATAGTGTTTTAGTCAAGCTTTTAAACTATAAAATTAAATTAAGCTTATAAGTGAGCCTCAACTTGAAGATTAATTAGAATGTATCTGGATAAAAATATGGCTAAGCTGTTTTATAGTTGACTAAAGATAAGATAGTTTAACACTAGTTTAACGGCTCATTTTGAGCCGATTTTTTAAAAAGGCTAACTCAGTAGTATTTTAGCCAGAAGTGATATTGCCCAAGTCTCGAGATTTCGATAATAATATGTCTACAAAGTTCCTTCTACGAGAAAAATCTTCAAGGTTGCGTAATATTTTTACTGGATGAAATTTTGAGTTAGCCCTTTTTAAAAATCGGTTCAAAAACGAGCGACCTTTAAACAACACTAATTTTGAAGATAATAAATATTATACTTCACTACAGTATATTTTGATTAAAATAATGGAAAATTTGAATCAACCAACCTCTTCATACAAATAGTGTCAAATTTTATGGATCAACCTATTCATACAAATAGTGTTAAATTTTCTGGATCAATCCTCACAAGAAAAGAGCAAATTTCGGATGCACTCACCGTAAAAATAAAGTGGAAGCTTCCGAATTACCATCATTCTTTGACGGGTTGTCTGTCTAACTTGTAATTTATTTAAACTTTTATACATAACACAGTTATATCCCCTACTTTGCTGGAAGAGTTTAAAAAAAAAAAATTGGAAGAGTGGTTAAAATTAATTAGAGGTGTAGAGAAATAAACACATATATAAATATGGTGAATTCCATGACAAATCGACATGGATTTCTAACCGACCCCCTTCAGTTTTTTCTGAAATTTTTACACTATATTTTGCATATATTATAGCTAAGGGGGGGGGGAATAAAATTTTAGCCTCCCAAACAGCGACCGAGATGCGGGCCTCTAAAGGTAAAAGAAAATGGGGCATTTTGGGCAAAAATATCGGTCATTTAAATTTCTTTTATATAACCTGTAGGCCTTTTAAAGATATATAACGTTAAATATTGTTTTTAAATGTCAAAAACCCGAAAATGGTCATAAAATCAAATCGGTATTTTTTTTTATGAATAGCAGCAGAATTAATTAATAAACGCGCAAAAATTTTCAAGTTGAACCGATCAAGGGTATAGGAAGATAATGGCATTTTAATCATTAGTCAATCGTAAAAATTGGCGTAATAAATATGTGACAAATTCACATTAATTGTTGAAATATTATTTAAAAGCTAAAATCTTTTAAATATTTTATGTATCTAAATCGGACACCTGCAGAGGGTACCGTTTGCCTTTTTTTTGAAATAAATTACATTTATTATCCCTGAACCACAATCCTCAAACTATCATCATGATCGGAATTAAGGATATCTGACAATTTAAGAGGTTGGTGTTCGGGGATAATAGCACTTATTATCCTAGAAGCTTCCTGTCTACTCTACGTTATCTTTGGCTACCTAGGGCCCACGTGGATGCGTCGACATCAGGATCCATACTACTAGCGGGGTCCCTATTAAAATAAGGAGTATTCGGTTACCCGGCCTGAATTTTTTTAAACAAATGTATAATATTTATTGAGATTTAAAATATTCGGCCCGACCCGGATATTTTTAAGAAAGGAATTATAGGCTTGGCCCAGGTATATATTTAAAAAAAAAATTAAACCATGGCACGGCCGTACTCGAGCTTAGGGTTAGACCTGCAGACCTCTGATTTAAATAAAAATATTATATAAAGGTCTGTGTGGGAAGGGGCTATTATTGTATGTAATTTATACTTCGTTCCTGAAATTGGCGTAATTTGGATAAACCATATAAATTGTTGAAAGGCCTATAAGAAATGTACTTTCCTTGGATGATTTAACCAGAATAAATCATTAAAACGATAAAATTTGCATTTATCTGACATAAAAAAGAAGATAATTTTAAATGTTAACGATTGAATGTGAAATAATTTTTTTTTCTCCTTCCTGAAATGATATGATATGATACACATATAATTCCTTAAAAATATTTTATAAAAAACTCATTCTATAAAAAACGGAGGTGAGACTGCAATTTCCTCCCAAAAAACATGAATAATTATATATTTTTTAAATGGTAATTTTTATATTTTGTTTTTTTAAAAAAAAAAAAATTCTTTGGGTTTCTGATGTTAAGGGCTCTTATTTTGCCGCCTATATATTTTTTTAAAATTTTAAAGTTTCGCATGACATTGTGTCCAAGGGAAAGAGATAACGATTGACAAAATAATATAATTTGTTAATTTCGAATATTTAATTGACAGAATTTACATTTTTTTTTGGAAATGAGGAGAACGCATGTAAAGTCCCAAATTAAGGATTTACCTAAAGACCAAGGCACAGAAGTGAAACTCTCTGGCCTCAGGCCATCATCTAATGATAAATTAGCAGGATCCAGGATGTTTGGTATTCGGACCCACATAAGAGAAGGGCTAATTACTGAATTAATCGCTGCGTGTCTTGCTAATGTGCCTTGCTATATATACAATTTACCACTATGTCTCCCTTTGGAATCAACTAATATTTTAAATTTGATGCATGTATTTGGTTGAACCATATTACATCCAATTCGGTGGCCTATGGCAACTCTTGATTGTTCATCTGATAAAAGGTTATCTAGGTTACGACTTGGTAATGTTTTCCAACCATTCATAATCACCAATACAATTAGCATTTTGTAATAGTTGAATGTATTCTAAAGGGGGGTTTGATGAGAGTATTTAAAAAAAAATTTTTTATTTAAAGGTTCAAATATATTGATGTGTTAAAACTGTGGGTAAAACAACTTCAGGTAGAGCTAAAGATATCTAAGCTGTTAAGGCAGAATTTAAAAGGTTATCTTTAGGAGTGATAAAAGGAGATATCATGGCGTTGTTCATCAAAAGCTTAGGCATATATAACCTAATTCATTCTTTAAAAACTATCTTAACTTAGACATAATCATATGGTATCTGGATGATGACACCATCTGCGGATCTTCTAAAAATATTTCAGCAAAGATAGATTATATAGAGCAGAATTCTCTAAACATAAGTCTTACTTAAAATAATGCTAAATCTGAAATATGCTTTTTAAATTCAAAAGTCCTCAACAGGGGTTTAAAATCATTAAGGAAAGTGAAATTAATTTTCTTGGTTCACCTATAAGCAGTTTTTCCAACATGGAAGATTTTAACTGGGGCTTCTCACAATTATTTTCGAAAATGGGTGGCTTAGATTTATATACATTAAATCTTATAGTACCTCTTTCTTAATTTTTGGCAACGCGTTTGATGAACAACGCCATGATATCTTCTTTTATCACTCCTAAAGATAACCTTTTTTAAATTCGGTCTTGACAGCTTGGATATCTTTAGCTCCACCTGAAGCTGTTTTACCCACAATTTTAACACACCAATCAATTTTTGAACCTTTAATTAAAAAAATTTTTAAATACTCTCATTAAACCCCCCTTGAATATATTAAACTATTACAAAAATGCTGAATGCATTAGTGATTATGAATGGCTGGAAGCATTAACAAGTCGTAACCTAAGTAAATTCACATCAGATGAATAATTAAGAGTTGCCATAGACCATCGAATTGGATGCGACATAGTTCAACCATATACATATTACATACATAAAATGTAATATATTAGTTGATTCTAAAGGGGGACATGGTCATTATTGCACATATAGTCAAGGCACACATGCAAGTATTGCAAAACAGGTCTTAGGGGAGAGGCGTGGATGTTTGATAGATTCTAATTTAAAATTTATTACTTTTAAAAGCTAATAAAAGGTTATAAATATTTTGATATATAATCTAATATTAATAAAGCTTTTTGATAAAAAAAAATAAGATTTTATTTCGTATACCCTCTAAAAAATGAAAATCAAAGGAGCGGTTATGGAGTGGCACTCCATTACTTGGAGCAGGAGCTAGCACCTTTTAAAAATGTAGTGGCGGCAGCGGAAGCTAGCTCCTTTTAAAAATGTAGTAGCGGTAGCGGAAGCTAGCTCCTTTTGGGTAAGAGCAGCTGCGAGAGCTAGCTACTTTTAAAAAAGAGCGTTAACAATTCTGATTATAATATTATTTTTTTAACTCCAACATATATAAAAATAATAAACTAACCTGGTAAGGTATTTTTTTTAGAAAAAAGGATTTAAATATAAGTAAAATATAGACTATAAAAATGTAAGAAACTGATCTTTACGAAGAAAAATGGACCGAATAGTATAAAACCGACTTTAATCAGATTCAGGCAGGACGGGTCGATCGAGTATGGTCGGTCCTGTGTTATGCGCGGGGAACTAAAGTTTCTTAGCGCCACAATTTTGCCTTATCAATTTAGCAAACGGCTATTATAATTAAAAAATACCTAGCGAAAAAGTTGCGCCCGTATTTAGTCCAATGCTTCATTTGTATCTGAGAAACGGGTAGTTTGGTTTGAGCCAGAACAGATAGCCAGGCTAAACAAGCCCATAACCCATCTTTTTCCCTATATAAATATATTAAAATTTAAAGGTTTATTTTGATTTTAAATGCTATTTTCGATATTTATTCGTTGGAAATTGATAATCGATATCATTAAATCGAGTATTAGATATGCACCTTGAGTTCTTATTCCGTTCTTTCTTTCCTTCCTTTATTTCCCTACCAATTCCTTTGCATATTTATTCCATCATCATCCGTTTAACGTCAATCAAAGTGGGGGAAAAAAATGCATATTTGTTTTGTTACCTAGTTGATACGCCCCCCCCCACACTACTTACCTTAACATTTCTTATTAAACTTACGCTTATCCGTTAAATCTATGAACCACCTCCTTTGCGTTTTTTTTATAAAGAGTGGATGGGCAAATGTTATAACTTTAGTACCTTACACATTCATTATGAGTTTAGAAAATTCATTTAACTGGAATAAGGAAAGAAACACAAAATAAAATTACCTAATAATATCGCAACCCGTTCCAAAACTTTCCTCGCCGCACAATGAAAGAGTGCCCTTGTCCATGAGATTACCGAAAAATTTCCATCCGGTGGGTACCTCGAAAAACGGGACGTTCAAAGCTTTGGCTACCCTACATAAAATATATTAAGAGCCTGTATTCTACTAACCTGTCTTTTGGCCGGATACCGACATGGGCTTTATAGGACCGTCGATAAAAGTTTTAATTTATTTTGGATGTTTAGAGGAAATAATAATTTGCCAGGGTTTAACATTTGCTCAAAATTCAAAAAATCTTCAAAGATCCTTGCTCTTTTGAAGATCAAAAAAATGTGAAGATTTTTTTACTCAAAATTTTGGAGGGAAAATTTCTTCAAATTGCTCATTTGAAGATTTTTGTTAAAACCTTGTAATTGTCTCGCATTTTTATTTTTGAAAAAAAAAAAATTAAGTTAGATAATGAGGAAATTGTTTTTAAAAAAATGAAAAAAATAAATAAATAAAAGAATGAAAATAAAATGAAGAAATAAAAAGAATTAAAAAAGAAATAAAGAAAAGAATTTTAATGTTTTTTCAAAAAAATACGAATGAAATATGGCGAATGAGTAAAAAAAAAACCTGTCGAGAGCCATAGAGGTTGGCATAGATCTGGCCAATCCTTTGATTGGATGTCCACCTTTCGCGGAGTTGAAGTAAGGCATTGACGCGGAAAGGTTATCGGCCAAAATGGCGACGCTGTCCGAGGGGGTCACGAACAGCCCGTCCTCACCCAAGATCATATTACGATCCTACATGAGCGAGGAAGTTGGGAAGAGGAGGGATTTTAATTTTTTTCAAAAAATAAATTATATTCCTATTTCCTAATTTTATTTTTCCGTAATTTATTTAATTTATCTTTCACGTGACTCCCTTTTCTTTCCAATAATTGTATGGAAATATAAGACGTACCCCGTCACCATCGAAGGCAGCACCAAAATCGTAATGCGGGTGATTGGGTATAGAATGGGTCTTCATGATGTTTACCATATCACTGGCGTACGTCAAGTTAGGGTCTGGGTGGTGTCCGCCAAAATCTTCCTTGGGCTCGCAGTTGATGGCCAGTTCTTTCGGCACGCCAAAAATATCCACCATAATACCCCGGACATATGGGCCCACCACTTTTATTTTACCATTAACGATAATAATCCATGATACATTAGGAAAATATTATTATTTTTTAAATGTAACCTCCATGCATGGCGTTGAACAATGGAGTGAAAGGCTTCTCCTTTGATCCAATGAATGATTTGATGAGTTCGAAGTCGAATATTTTTTCGCACATCTCGATGTAATCCCTGACAGAATCTACATTTTATTGGCGACAATAATATAGAAAGGTAAGCAGTGATTATATTATACGAATGGGGGTGGGGGGGTGAGGGGGTAGGATTAATTTGCCGCCATATATTTTAAAGGAGGGGTGGCAAAGCCCACTAACAAGAGGGGAGAAAAGAGGGGTCGGATTGATGGCGTCAATAAAATCGCTCAAGGTGTACCTCAATATACATATCTGAATGATCATGGGAGATGTGGGGGGGGGGGGGGGTTAGTAGCATTGACTTGGGGAAAGTCAATAGATCTTTGACGGTCGGGAGTGGGGGGGGGGGGGGGGTAAGATGGCTATTACGGGTGTACGGAATAAACATATATAAGGGAATGGAAGCATGGTTGCCTTTAAATGATTTTTTTTTCTCTTTAGGTAGACGGTAATGCAGTAGTAAAAAAAAAAATTTCTACTTAAAAATTGAGTACAGAAAAGGGAGAAAAAAAAAGAAGAAATTAAAGAAATACAAAATTTAAAAAAAATAAATAATGGAAGAACCTATGACTTCGACTGTAAACCCGTGACCATCCACTTGAAATCTCTGGACGCCCAATTTACTCAGGTCCACTTTCAAGGATGGAACAGTGATGTATTCCCTGATATGTTCCGAGAAGAGGTGAATCTCATTAGTTATTTGTTCCGGCGCTGGTCCTAAATATTATAAATTATTTTATTTTTTTTAAAAAAAATGAGTATTACAATATCATCAGAATTTCTAATGTCGTTAAAAATCATCTCTTTGACCAACTCTCTAAATAAGTTTTCGTTCAAGATTTTTAGCATAATCGAGCATAGATTTGAAGATTGAGAATATTTCGATTTCCGGATAAATGGACAGGCTAAGCCGTTTGGGAGTATTTAAAAATTAGGTTCAGTGTTGTTAAACTATCTAACTAGGGCCAGCTCTAAAATGGCTTAGCCAAGTTTTTAGTCTAAAAAAAATTGTCTCCATCATTAAGTTGAGGCCAATGACATGTATAATACCTAGACTGACGATTCATTGTTAAAAGTGTACATCAATGCAAATCAGTTGGAGACGCCATCTTGGTTACACTAATCACTATTAAAATTTTAAAACGAGAGCCTAATTTATTCCGATATCTGAATACAAACTTTATTAAAGAATTAACCGGATCATCGAGATAATAAGGAAGCAAGTTATCAATTTAATAGTAGTTTTTAACACGAGAATAATTACTATATGTGTTACCAAAATGGCGGGTCCAGCTGATTTGCTTTTAACGACGCTTAAAAATGCATTTTAATGAATGAATCGTCAGTCTAGGTATTATATATGTCATTGGTTGAGGCTAAACTTGGACGTTTAAGTCAGTTTTTTAGGGCGATTCTCTTGAACACCCCAAAATGGAGTTGGTCAAAGTTAGGTGATTTAATATCACACTAGTTAGGTTTAAGGCGATTTTAGCGATACTGCGAGGTTAGATTAATTTATTTTTTTTAAATAAACGTAATTTAAAAAAAAATGATCTACCCGCCATAACTAAAGAATTATTCTAATATAAATACAAGAGACCTGCAGAGCAACCTTTTTAAATATACCCGGCTATGACCTAAAAAATTCTTTTCAAATACCTGGGCCGGGCCAGACCGGGCCTGAAGAATGTTATTAAGAAATACCCAAGCCGTGTCTGGTCCAGACCCGTGCCTTAGGTACCTCTGCAGGTCTTTGATAAATATGATAAATCGTATAGTTAGTATTAAACGTATCATCAATTATTATACCATAATTAATATACTAAGAAAATATATTTTTTAAAAAAAGTTTGGTTATATGTTTTTGACAGGGACAAAATAGGAAAAGGACCCCCCCCCCCCACATTTTGAAAAACAAAGGTGCAGGTCATTTCTGCGTATATACTACGCAATAGTGTTCAAAATTATATAGCAAAGGGTGTTATTTTAAAATCATTGATTTTTGATAAAAATCGAATTTTTTCGATATATAAACCGGACTTTTTTTTAACATTTAAATCAGATTTTTATAAAACAAAATAATAATTTGGATGTTATATGACCAATGCTTTGAAAATGGGGATTTATGAATATTTTTTTTAATATAAATAATGTCTTATTTATGTGATATTTCTATTCATATTAGTGAGGAATAACGTTCATTTTTTTAAAAAAATTTAAATATATATAAAATAGTAACTTTTATATATTTTACCCAATACCAATAAAACTATATTTACAATTTCAAAAAATTTAGCAAAAATCATCTTTTTTGGAGGGAATTCAGTAAAAATTACTTTAAGTAGTTCTAATTCTGAGCAAGTAAGGGAGAAAAAAAATATACGTTGCAGAACTAACCTACTTGTATAGTAATTAAGCGTTACATATTGGCTTAAGCTTCAGCATCAAAATATTTTCCAAAGTTTGGCAAACTTCATACTTAAGCCTGGTGTTATTAAACGGCTCGTTTTGAGCCGATTTTTAAAAATGGCTAACTCAATATTTTAGCCAGAAAAATATGGCCTAAGCCTCATGATTTCGATAATATAAGTCTGGACCTTTGTTCCTTCTATGAGCATGGGTATAATAATTTTCTAGATCAAGTAATGAGCTAACCGTTCTTAAAAATCGGCTCGAAACGAGCCGTTTAACAACACTACTTAAGCCTGCGTCTTAATATTATTCAGAGACCTGCAGGCCCGGCCCGGGTACACGGGCAGTGCCGTATTTCATCGCAATCATTAGCTATAAACATTAAAAATAAATTATAATATATTTTAAAAAAAATCCGGGCCGGGCTTTAAATATAAAACCGGGGTCGGGCTGAAAAATTTTTTTTAAAAAAAAATATCCGAGCCGGGCCGTGTAAATGATACCCCTACAGGTCTCTGATATCATTAGATTAAGATTCCTATCAAAATTTTTTGAACTAATAATTAGTATTTTTTAAGTAAAACAGAAAAAATTTTACAAAAAAAAAATAATATCTATAAAGAATGGTAAAATCATTTGAATTAGGGAAATCCCTTGTTTCAACTTAAACTTGTTAACTCTGTTATTAGTTAGTGAGTGGCAAAACTGATTGGTCGAATTTTTTATAAATATTAAGTATACTTCACGGACAAAAGATATTGGCGCAACCCGAATATCAATTTCGCCAATAAGGATCAAGGTTCAAATAAATGAACTCAATGATTAACATATCAATAAAAGCCCTGAGTTTCATTGTGCAAGATAGAAAAATTTTTTAAAATATATATTTCAATTAATATGATCATATAAATAATTTTCAATAAAAAAAATGGTCACCAATAAAAGCATCGCGATATTAAATTCGCTCTAATATCTTAGCGATAATAGTTTTCGCTATATTGTCTTCGCGATAATGACTTCTCCATAAAATTTTCGCGATAAATTTTTTTAGCTGTAATGTATTTAATATAAAGGTTTCGCGATATTGTCTTGGCGGAACAGTATTCGCTGAGGATTCGGGATAAAAGTTTAGCTGAATCGACGTGGAACCGTAAAAAACGGTGCATAGCGGCTCGTAAATTTTTTAGTTTCCTAGAGCATATATAATTTTCCCGCTTTCCGCGCCAAATTAATAATAATTAATATAGATAACAAGTAATAAAAATAATTTTGTTTTTGAAATTCAAATAAAAATATTGAATATTTTGAAAATAAATTTTAAAATAGAATTTTGGTTCATATATATTTTTTTGTATTTCGTGGAATGTACTAGAAAAATATTTTAGCCCCCAAAAATAAAATTTTTTTTGATGGGTTGAATGTTAAAAATATCAGAGATCGGTAGAGGTACTTTATTTTCTTAAAAATATTTTCGACCCGGTCCGAATAAAATATTTGGTTTTAAAATATAAGGTCCGGCCCGGGTATTTAAAACCGGGCTTGCAAGGTCTCTGCAAAATATGGATATAGGTTAGAGATAATTGTCGATAAATTCTATTCAGCATTCAAATTTTGGCAAAATATTTTTATTTTTTTTTAAAAAAAAATTGGTTTCAGAGTCATCAGAGTAACACTTAGAGACGACCTCGTTCTCCCACCAACTCTCAGAAGATACATAATCAATATCGAGTTGTGATTGAATTGACACTTAATCATACTTTAAAAAAATGTATATTTTTTTTAGTGCCAAAATTTTTTTTATTAATCAGTTAATTATTTTTAAAAGTAAAATAGTGATTAAAATAAAAAAAAATTTTCTTCTCCAAAATATGAATTTATAAAAATAATTAAAAAGATAAACTTAAATAAATTAGTTGATAAAAGGAGGCCATAAGGCTTATAGCTCCGCAAGCCAACATCAATAAGTTGTAATATTTTGGAATTAATCTTATCATATTATTAGATAATTTGATGTTTATTTTTTTTTAAAAAAAATCAATTTTTAGAGCACAGATTTTTTGCTAAGGGGAATGGAATAGGGGGGGGGGGACTATTAAATTGGTTTTTTTTACTCTACAAATTCTATAGGAGATCTTTAAGGTTGCAGACCTTTGGCTTATGTTACATTTTTTATTAAAATAGATTTTTTATTTTTGAATTGTTAATTTATTATATAAAAATTATTAGCTTTTTCCGGTGAGTGGAAGAGGACGGGGGGGGGGGGAAGGGATTTTAATTTTGACTAAAATAAAATTTGCTAAACAAATTTCCACCCCCTAGATAAGAACCACTAAAAAAATCTTATTTTTGAGCTATGGAGGCCCGCAGTGGCGCGTACGCCGCCTCTGGAAATATCTCAAGTAAATTGTATAATAAATTTTATATGGATACTTTGCCCCATCTCCTAAAGTTTACACGTATTTATTTAAATGTTAGGCGGCGCTCGTCATAGGAGTATACATCTTTAAGAAATAAAATTTGCTAAACAAATTTCCACCCCCTAGATAAGAACCACTAAAAAAATCTTATTTTTGAGCTATGGAGGCCCGCAGTGGCGCGTACGCCGCCTCTGGAAATATCTCAAGTAAATTGTATAATAAATTTTATATGGATACTTTGCCCCATCTCCTAAAGTTTACACGTATTTATTTAAATGTTAGGCGGCGCTCGTCATAGGAGTATACATCTTTAAGTAAGGCGTAGATAATTGATAAGAAATGATGAACTAAAAGACAAAATTTAGTTAAATGATAAAATAAAAATAATACTTTTATCCTTTATTATATACAAATAAATTCGATATTTTCGAGTAGCGTCTGTGACCTATTCGGTTCAGCGCGGATATCAGATTCCGATACTACTGAGTTCGAGTCCAGCAAAGACTGTTTTTTTTCTAAAACCAACTAGGTGGTTCCGTCCTTGGGAGGATAATATTTGTAGTAGATCGAACCAGACCACGTGATTTATTTACTATGCCTTTTCTAAAGCCAACTAGGTGGTTCCGTCATGGGTGGGTGGGGAAGGGGTGATAGCCGACCACGTGATTTCGTTAAAAAATAAATAGATCTTATCGCATTTTAATATTTTTTGTTCTTCGTTTAGCAAGTTGCAATATGCCGACCAACATCATACATCATTATCACGACGAGGGTTCTCGATTTGAGCCTATTTTTAGAAACGGCTACCTTAGCATTTTAACCAGAAAAATATTTCCAAAGTCTTGAGATTTAGCTAACAGATGTAAGCCTTTGTGCCATCTGTGAGCAAAATCTTCAGGCTTACATTATTTTTTTTTGAACGAAATATTGAGTCAGCTGTTTTTAAAAATCGGCTCAAATCGAACCGTTTAATAACACTTATCACTATTTAACAGAGTTGTTAAAAGATACTTTTTAAATGGATCAGGATACAGATACATTGTCTAAAATAATATCTAGATACAGATACCACATTTTTATATCTAGATACTGGGTCTAGATACTTCTAGTATCTAGATACTTGTAGTATCTAGACAACTCTGCTATTTAACTGTAATCGATGTATTAAAATGGTTATTTTTGAATGTTAATAATCTTTTCTTATTTAAATATTATTAATTTGAAAAAATTTTATCAAAAATATTTTCTATGCGTATTTGGCTTTTACAATCTCAGGGGGCTCAAAATTTTTTAAAAGTATTTTGAAAATTACCTCTTTTTTAAAAGCTTACTTAGCTTTTTTTTAGTGGTATAAAAAAATTCAAATTTTTTGGGGAGCTCAAGTCCCTAGTGAACCTATTGGCATTTGCATAGTTGTTTTATATTGATCACTCCAAAATAAGCTCTTGACCCACTCCCCCTCCCAATTGAAAATTTTTAGCTATTGGGTAGTGTTGTTAATCGGTTCAATTTTCATGAAAATACCTAAGAGATTTTCCTCGTAGAAGGAAAGATTTTGTACATATATTAATGAAATCTCAAAGCTTCCGTGATATTTTTGGCTAAAATATTGGGTTAGCAAACAAGGACTGGATGTCTAGTAGATCCCACAGATGTTTTTGGACTTGGTCAGATATAGGCTTTGATCTTAAGTTTATCTTGCCCCTGTTTTGAGCTCATCATTATGATAATATAATTTTAATTCTACGTCAAACCAATTCTACTCCCCCCTCCCTCTTCTAAAAATATGTATATAAGAATAATTTTATTAAAAACAAAACCTCCATTTGATGTATTAAATTTAATCCCAAAATCTTTGTGAGGGCCACCAGGATTGTGGCTAGCAGTAAGTATTATACCACCATCTGTATGATATTTTCTTATGACACATGAAACTGCTGGTGTTGATAATATTCCATTTTGGCCAATAATTAGCTTTTCAATCTAATTATTAAAATACATATTTTTTTAAGAATTAATTTTCAGAATAGTTGAGGTCTAAGTTAAACCAAAGAGAAATATGAAATCTCTATTGACTATTTCAATAAATTGTTTTCTTTTATATTTAAGCATACTTGATTTGCTGCAGACATCTGAATAATTTTTTGTAGGGCTTCTTTGTTGTAATATCTACCATCTCCACCTACCACTAATGTTTTGCCTGTAATATCATCTCCAAAAACGCCACTTAATATACTCTGTATAAAATTTTCAGTGTAATGCTCTTCCATAAATATATCAACAGGCTTTCTCAGACCACTTGTGCCTGGCTTTTGACCAGTAAATGGTTTTGTCTTGATAATCTGGGATTTCATGTTCAAAGGCACGATTAGGTTATTTTGTTATAAATCGAATCATATGTTTTTAAACAATCCTCGAATAAAATAAAAAAAGAATTTTAGTTGCTACACAATGACATATTAACTCAATCGATGACATTAATATGTCATTATTGTTACTACGTTTACTGCATTTCATATTTATTTACTCATATTGTAAATAATTTATCATTAATTTATATTTATATTATTCAGTTTTTATAATATTTAAAAATCGGTTACTATGAATTATTTCAAACTTTTTTTTAAATATCGATTAACAACTTTATTTATCTATAAATTAATATAAGTATTATACATGCTAAAACTTAAACAAAGCAAATTCGAAGGCAACAAGGTCTTGTATTTAAATTTATAAAATATATATTTGAAAAATTATAAATAAAAACAAATGATAATTATCTTTGAGAAAATTAATAGTTATGTTGATTTCTCAGCGAATATATTATTAATTGGCAGAAAATTAAATTTTATTATCTGAATTCTGAAATTCTGAGTGAAGTTACAACACCGCAAGGAGGCGGTTTAACCCACCCCCGTGCGTGGCAATATTGCCCACTACCCACAAAAAAATCAATAATATAAAAAATAATTTAACATAACTACCTGTTGGATATTATAGTATCTCATCACACTTTATGAAGACAATTTCATAAAATGATTCACTCATACACCCATGGACATAACAGTGCAATAACCAAAATTATGTGGCAGTAATTTGGCCTGCTGTGAGGGCAGATATTATTGAATAACGTCGTTATGGAATAAGATTCGTCGAGTAAACGAAATAGAAGTAATTTAACGAATAACAAATTTGATTAAGAATAATTGAATCAGAATAAATTTATCAAATATTGAATAGAAATAAAATAAATAATTGGTCGCGTTTTATTTTTATTTATTTTTAATATTATATATATTGCGTTTTAGATAATAGCGTTTTACGTTTCTTAATTTTGCGTTTTATAAATAGATTTCATAATATAATTTATTTTTTAATTCCGCGTTTTTTATAATATATCATTTTATATTTATTTTTAATTACGCTTTTTTTTAAAATCAATATTATATTATGTATTTTTTTTAATAAAAGATGATATGTAAGTCTGTACATCCATCTCTTGGAAGTATCGCAGCCAAATTCTAAATTTAAATACAGGTGGTATAGAAAGCGTATGCATGAGTGGTGGGGTTAGATACAGTTTGCATCAAATATTTCTGAGGGAGATAGGGGGTAAGCATTTAATGAAGTAGACTAGGGGTAGGTTAAATTTATTGGGGGGTTATCTAATAAATTTTCAGATGAAATATGGCAAAATGTATTGCTGTAAAATTCTTTTATCAAATAATATTATAATACAGTGGTATTGCTAAACATCGATAAATTTATATATTGCAGACAATCATAGATATTATTTTCCAAATAAAACAATTTCTGGATCACTTTCTCCTATAATTTTTATTTAAATTTTTAATGGTTAGAGATTCTATCTAAAAATCATTCATACCAAATAATGCATTCATTGTGTTGGAATTGAATTAATATCCACATTTATTATTTGATAGGATATCACATTTTATTTTTAATCATAATTTAAATTTTATTATATGATAAATTACATTTTTATTTTTCAATCCTAAATTACATTTTTTTATCCCTTTATATATCCTTTTTTTTAAACAATAATAAAAAAATAACTAATACAAATTTGATGTATAAAAAAAAATGTTAATATCTAATTTTCAGCTATTAAATTTAAATACAAATTGATATAATATAAAATAAATCAATTGCCAAAATAAATAATAAAATAACATCGATCAACATATTCAACACATTGTAAAGATGGAAGTTTTTAATTGAATTCATTTTCTAAAAAATGATATTTTACGTTCATAATATTTTGATAGTTGTCATTAATAATTAAATTTATTCTTTTTGAAATTTATGAAAGGAGTATCATTATAATTAAAAGGTGTGATCATTTTTATCTTTATATATAACCGCCGAAGGCGCTAAATTTTTTTTTAGGTGGGTTATAGGTTTTTAAGGTGGTTTGAATTTAGTGAATATCTTATAATGTAGACACTGGGTATAGATAGGGTTTGGAGAACGGTTCTCCTTCAATATATTTTCTGTCCGGTTGATTCTGATTCGCGTACTATCATCCCACTCCTATTTATATTGACGATCTTGCGCCACGCCGCCATTATGATAGAACCACATGGTCTCGAATAATACAAAGGCATATCCAGGATTTTCATATAGGTAGGAAGGGGTGGGGGCGAGATCTTACCTTTTACCAATATTATTATTAGAATGTTATAGATCCATTTTTAAAGGCATTTGACATGTTAGAATGTTTTAATCACATTTTTAAAGGCATATGCCTATATTGCATAATTTAAAAACAACTTTGGTTTTGCACTTCTTTATATGCGGTGTGTTATACCAAATGCCATCCACTATCAGACCGTCTATCTATAGATTCCTCTTAATAATTTTATAATAAAATGAATATAGACAAAACTGGATAATTGCGAAGCGTAGAACTGAAAATATTAATATTTTATCATTTATTCGAAATTAATTATTCAATATATAAACCATTTTTTTTAGCCCCGCCCGGGTATATTTAGAAAAATTAAAATAAGGCCCGGCCTATGTAAAGGTTATATTTTAAAGGTATATGGGATAAAAATATTTTTAGGCTTCTAGAGTCGGGTGGCTTCGGTTTGGATATCTAAATTGTTATTTTTTAATGCACACACTGTTTAATACTACTGGAAATACTTCAGTCACCAGATGTTTTTATCGTGGGATGGATGCGGTAATTTATAATCAAATTAGATATTAAAATCAAGGGAAATTAATTTATAATTATAAATATTTGTTGATTCATTTCAATCAAATTAGATTATCCACAAGGTAGCGTGAACTGCGAAATGATCCCCAATTCATTTCCTGAGGTAATTATCACAATATAATCCAATCACATTCATTGAGTTTTTTTTCTTGGTAAATACAAGATAATTTCCAATCCCTTTACTTGGGTGCTCATAATGTCAATATATTATATCAGCCACTTAGTCAAATAAAAAAAACCAAAATAACCAGTTAAAAAAAATATATTATTGTTTATTAATATTTTTTTAAATAATTAAATCTCTTGCGACAACTAAGAACAACAGTCATTCACTAATAATATTAGTCTATATTTTTTTTTAACGAGGAAGATGAAAAGTATATAGATTTTCAATTTCTTTAGAGTAGTATCATTGAAATGGAAATCTAACAAAATGATACTATTGTAAAAACCTATGCTTGGCCAAACAAAAAGTACCAATCCTATTAATCGCTACATAACTTGAAACTAGATAGATAGGATTAGGATGAATAAATTGTGACTCATAGCCTAAATATAAATAAGTTTTGAATTTCGAGCCATCATTGGGCGTAACGATCTTTTTCAAAAAAAAAATCGCCATACGTGATTGGCAATCAATATATTTTTCTTAAACTCGACACTAAATTCTTGTTCATTAAATTAAAATCATACAATTTTCTATTTGAAACCTATCTGATATTTCTTTGAACTAAATCATATAATTATCTATATGGTGAGTGCCTTATCTGACATTCTTTAATTTTATATGAAAGTAGTACATCATCAATCTACTGCAAACAACAAGTTGAGCCATTCCTATTAGTAGTGTTGTTAAAAGGCTCGCTTTGAACCCAAATTTTAAAAACGGCTAACTCATTATTTTAGCCTGAAAAATATTGCCTCAAGCCTCGCGATTTCGCTAATAGATATTCAAATCGTTGTGAGCATCTTTGAGCAAAATCTTTAGCCTTGCATAATATTATTCTGGATAAAATATTGAGTTAGTCGGTTTTAAAAATCGGCTCAAATCGTAACGTTTAACAACACTACCATTTAGCAAGAAATAGAAACGAGATGGAACTCTATAAATATGTATATCTAAAGTTTATTAAATATCGTACGCTGAAATATAGGTCTAACTGTTAAGAAGAGAAAAAGGATCTAAATAGATTGGCAGCGTTAGATATATTCATTATAGGGTGACTTAAAAAAAAACAAATGGAAACTTAAAACTTTAAAGATCAAGGGATAGCATTATAAGGCTGAATATGATGGAGAATTATTAAGACAGTTATCAATCACTATTCACTCGTCAAAATACCTAATATTTAAAAAAAAGACTCCTGGAGTCAAAACGATAACTGAAGATGAAAATAAACTGATTTTTTTTCCCCGCGTATTTTTATTTCCGCTTAAAATCTTCCGGAAATTATTATCTATCAATTATTTTAATGCAAATTTTTTAATAAATATTTTGTTATTTTTCACAATCCAGATTGATAATTTTTTTTAAAAAAAAAATAAGATTAATTAATTTTATAAATATATATAAATCTTTTAGTATTTTTCAAAATTTCGTCAAAATGATTTTTAAGAATGTTTTTTTTGCTGCTTTTTTATATAATATTTAGCTCAAATAAATTATAAGAGAAATCTATTACACTGAAAAGTTATATTACTACGGTAATTAAAAGCAAGTTTAAATGAAGTTTTAATCCGGAAAATAAAGTGATGTCTTTTAAGTTTCTAGTAGTGTTATTAAACGGCTCATTCTGAGTCCGATTTATAAAAACGGTAAACTCATTATATTCTAGAAAAATATTATGCAGCAAGCCTTAAGATTTTGCTCATCATAGGTGACACAAAGGTTTGATTGAACATCTATTAACGAAATATCAAGGCTCAGGACAATATTTTTCAGGCTAAAATATTGAGTCAGCCATTTTCAGAGAAGAGAAGAGAAGAGAAGAGAGAGAAGAGAAGAAGAAGAGAGAGAGAAGAAGAAGAAGAGAAGAGAAGAGAAGAGAAGAGAAGAGAAGAGAAAGGTAGAAAGAAAATCGAGCTCAAATCGAGCCATCTAACAACACTAGTTTCTAGGTACAACGATACTAGAGGGAATTTTCTTTTTAATCCCATGCTTTAAGGTGTGTGGTATTTTGTAAATAATTACATTTATTATTTTTTTATAAAAAAAAAAATATAAATACAAATAGATCACGATTTAAAAAAATAAAATAAAATTTAAATTAATTATTAAAATAAAAAATGTACAATTTTATTTAATTTTTCGACATTATATATTAAAATTCCATCGGGTTTATTAACACAAAATTCAGACTTTATAAATATGACAATAAATAAATACAAAATCGGTAATTGTAATGATGAGGAAACATTTAAATGTTGAGTTTTTATTTCTTCAAAATAATAGAATACTATTTGGGGAGGGGGGGGGGGGGTTGTAGAAATGTAATCATTGTGGACTAGGTGTAGGGGTGTTAGATATATAAGTGAAAGCGGTCTCGGCAGAACCGCCATTTTTTATCTTTTTGAGGTCTTCTTCGAAATAGAGAGTAGTTTCCCCGACACCCCTGTAATAACCTGTCCACCCAGGCATCTCGTAAACCCGGACGCCCTGGTAGGTGGTTCCCTGTTTGTTCTCCGAGGTATTTCGGTTTTTTATCGAGCAATCGAATTTATTATTCAAATCACATGGTTTGTGCACCTTCCGTTTCAAATTGGGCAAAGAGCTATGGGCATTGTGCCGAGAAAATTTAACCGGGTTTTTTAAAATGTTAGCCACCAAGGGACAAGACGAAAAATAAAAAGTAGGCAGGGAAACCATGGAGGATCTATCAGCGTTTAAGATGTCTTTTGTAGCGTAATCATTGTTATGCGAAGGTCTGTTAAAATTTGACGACCCATGGGGAAGGCCGGGAGATTGAGGAGGAATGGTATCACCCGTGATTGAGCTGGTTGAAAGAGTTTCTTTATCATCGTTTATGAGATCGGCCTTGTCACACGCATTATTACATGGCCGAATCCAGATTTTCTTCTTTCTGTTAGCTTCCGGTAGTTGTAGATTATAAATTTTACGAATAAGCGAATCGTTCCCGTTTTTTATTTTTCGCGCGATGACGTTAAATATCGGTGATGACTTGCACGGACGATCTTTAGTTACCAATTTATTACTTTCATCTGATAAGTTAGATCTCGGTAAATGGGATTGTTGGGATTTTATATAATTTAGTGGCGAAGGACCCCCTTCAATGAAACGCTTTCCGCCTTCATCCAAAGGATGTTGTGTTACGATACAATCGCTTTCTCGAGGCTCCTTGTCATTCATCTCCTCGAATATATTATAATCTACCATATCACCTGAATCTGGTTCTGAAACATCGATTTTATTCCCATAGGCGATACTTCCGCCCCTAATTAGTAGAGGCCTAGTACAAGACGCGGCGTCAAAATTAAGACTACTTCCTCTTCCTCCTCCTTCAATAAAAGGTGGGGAGTTGCGATTTTTTCGGCTGGATAAGTTTGTTTGTCCCGTTACTATTCGCTTTAACCTGGTAAATATCGAGGGGCTCGGACCTAGCCCTGCAGAAGCGACTGCTCGCTTCTTCGAGCCCGTTTTTACCGTCGTTGTGACCAGGTCCGGAAATAAGGTTCCCATTTTGGTGCCCCTTATGTGGTCTTGTGAGGGACGAAGCTTGCGTAATCTCGAAATCAATGTACCGGCTATTGTAGACCGACGCTGATCTGGGAGGGATAGGGCCTTCCTTATCGAACGGGAGGTCGTGTTTATCCCACCTCCCCATTTTCCCGAGCAAAAACTTCCTTTGAGAGCCGATGGATTGGATGATGTCCGAATGGCACTGTTTAATCCTCTTAAAGGGATAGTTATACTCTCGAATCGATGTTGTCCACTCGGATGATCGCTTCCCTTTTTTATTTTTTATAAAATATTTTTATATTTATAAATTTAAAGAAAAAATAAATAAATAAATTATTTTAAAGGGATGCCAAAAAAATTTTATGATGAATGAATTAGTATTGTGCCACATTTATTATAATGCTTATATTATTATTTTTCTTTTTACTATAAAACATAAATGGTCTCAATTGTTAAAAATTTACGAATCAAATCATATATTAAATATATACAAGAATCTATGGTTACATATTATTGCGTTATATTATAATGTTGTTTTAAGAAAAGCCGTGCCATTAAATCGATAGCATAAATTGTGAAATAATTGTAGCGAGAAATTTTTTTTTTAGAAAGTTTAGGGCATTGCACATTTCAATCTATAATTGAAGACTACACAAGAAAAGTATTCCCAGGGTCCTAACTAGAAATTTTTTTTTCTTAAGGAGAACTAGAAGGGAGGGGAAGTGGCGGGGGATATATTTTTCGCGTATTTCGTTCAGAAATTGCATGTATCGTTCTGATTAGACCTAAAATTTCATATTTAAATCACTTTTTAATCATCCATTTATGGTGAATTATGGAGACTAGAACTCGACTTAGCTTAATGAACAAAAAATATATGCAATCATAGATAGCAATATAAATAATTGGGGAAATAAGCTAATTAGTTTAAAAAAAACATTAATTTTAATTTATATAAATATTAATTTTATTATTATTAACAATTTACCTTCTGAGTGTATGAAAATGGTCAAAAACGCAAAATCTGAAATATTTAGCAGAAAGCGGGGGAGGTCCTAATATTTCATGAGTTGGGAGAGGCGGGGCGGGAGGGTCTGCGCTCTCCGAGAATTATAGAGTTGAGTGTATAATGACAAAATTTTTTTTTTACAAAAAAACTTGTTAAAGCATTAGAACAACTTGCACTTATAGTTCTATAAATAACATCAACTAAAATACCAAGCTGCCAATCTAATATAACTGACTTCAAAAAATGACACTTGAACTCACACATTAAACGTTAAATATGACGACATTAATACACGAATTTTATATTGATTCCCCCCCTCCTCCTCCCCCACCATTTCCACGGGCGGAAGTAATCCTCACGCTGGCGGAAGATGTTAGTATTTATTTTATTAAGAAAAAAAAAATAAGCCGAAAGGAGCGGAAGCGTAAATTTTTTTTAAAAATATTTACAACGATCGAATGTCTCGATACAACGGAGCCTTCACTTCCTCCTAAAAAAGAAATTTAAACAAAAAAAAATAAAATATAATTATAAATTATGCATGAATGGGCTTTTTAACCACGGACTCGTGTTGTTAAACGTCTCGAGTAGTGTTGTTAAACGGCTCGTTTTGAGGCGATTTTTAAAAACGGCTAACTCAATATTTCATCCAGAAAAATATTACGCAACCCTGAAGAATTTGCTCATAGAAGGAACAAAGGTTTAGACATATATTATCAAAATCTCAAGGCTTAGGCAATATTTTTCTGATTAAAATATTGAGTTAGCCGTTTTGAAAAATCGACTCAAAACGAACCGTTTAACAATATTAGTCTCGAGTTTTAAAAACCGTTAACCCAACATGTTGGCCAAAATGAATTAGGCGAGCCTTGAGATTTTGCTCATAGCTGAAACCTTGGTGGGCCTTAATATTCTGACCAAGCCCGGTCCAGACCCTCAGTAAAAAATTATTCTTAGGAGTTAGACTCGGTTCATATCTAATATCAGAAGAAAAAATTCCCGAGCCCAAAATAAGTTTCAAAAATTCCCAAGCGCGGCTCAAATCAATATTTAAGTGTGCATTTGAGGAAATCATTTTGTTTACAATATCGAAAATATTTATTATTATTTGGGAAGAAAAAAAGAATGGCAATAATTTCTAAAAGTTAGCAACTGTTTTAAATGAGTGAAATTTAAATTTAATAATTTTAGGCGCCAAAACCCAGCCTACCGGGTCTCTAGCTGATAGATGGCAGAAAGGTTTGGGCATCCATTAACGAAATCTTGAGGATGGCGTAATATTTGGGGGGGGGGGTAAAGGGTTAGCCGTTTGACAACGCCATCATGGGCTTATAATCAATATTAGCCCATAGCGGGCGGGGGCATAACTCTTAGAGAGAATATTGTTTTGTTTTTTTAAATATCCGTTATGTTAGTGGGCAAGTCATGGCGGCTCAATTCACCGGAACCGGATAGCGGTTCGGATTAATTTCTTTTTTTATCCAATAAGAAAACATATTTTGTTTTAAAATACTCTATATAATACTTAAATTGATATTTATCAATAGACTTCGATATTTTATATTTAACCTTGTTTTAAAATATTCTACGTAATACTTAAATTGATATTTATCAATAGACTTCGATATTTTATATTTAACCCCTGAAATGGTATGCTAGGAGTATAACAACACTCCAGGAATCTTTAAAATTTCTACTCTACAAAAACAAAATCTTTGGATATTTTGACTCTGGGGTTTTCAAGTAACCTCTTATTTTAATGACAAATTATGTTTCCACAAAGTTTTATGCATTTTTATTGAATAATTTTAAAGATGTATGAACATTTTTTGGAGGCCAAGATCCCCAAATTTATAATAAATGTGGAAAATATCAAAGTTCGAATAAATAATTTTGAGTGAGATATCACATGACAGTTTTTAAACTGGGGTTGAGTTATGCCTCATTAAAGATAGATGTTGCCACTCCCCACCACGTTGAGACAGAAGTCAGAATTTTTGGGGGAAGCGATTTTAAAAAACATCTAGTAAATGCTCAAATATGAAAAGACTGATGATTATTTCATAAATTACTAAGTAAAATAGAATTTCTTTTAGCTTGAGCTTAGAATCATTATCTGTAGTCAAAGTTTTAGAATCTAGCCCGTACCCAATACCATTTTTTAGATAATTTTCACTGGATTATCAATATTTATATTTTAAAAGAGAAATTATTTTCACTGATGCTTGTCCATGTTATATACTAATAATACATACCAAATTGCAACGTTCTTTTTTAGGAAGACTTACCTAATATTGAATGTTTTATAGCTTTATTATGATAAACTTTGAAGCATTCATTATTACTATCATAATCAGAATACAGAACGCGGAGAAGACGAATTTGAATATTTAATATAAATATACTTAGCCTGCACATGCATATAATCAGGCTGAGTACCTAATTGGAGCGCATGCGCGAACATTGTATTATAAATATGTTTTTAGGAGGGGAGAACCAGCCATCGAGCTTTTATTTAAAGTTATTATTCATAATTCAAATTATAATCAAGGGTATAATTCTATATAAGACTTGTTTCTGGGAGGAGATTCTGGTAGAATCAGGAAATGAAAAGATCGAAAAATAGAAGGATTACTAAGACACTTTGACATCCGATAGCTAATCTGACAAGATCAAAAATCAGTCATACTACAAATTTTGAGACCAGGATCATCTACTTCCTACTATTCCATATTGTCAACGTGCATCATTTGCTTTATAATAAAGGATTTTGATGAACATTTTATCTCTACGTAGTTGGTCATCGTTTTTACAGTTTCAAGCTAATTTTACTGGTAAATAGTCATCTCGTGCTAATTTCCCTGTAAAAAAAATAGATTGATTTTCGTTTGGGTAAATTTTAAATGATTGCGCATATAATGTGGCTAACGAGTGTCATCCCTCAATTTCTGCGCTAGGGGGTCTCTATACATATGGGATATATTCGACCTCAATGGGGTCCACTTGGCTCTCTTTTCGATGTTCAGTTGTAACTCTGAAACAGATTCTTTTAATGAATCCCCGGATATAATCATATCGTTGGAGGGGGATCGATAACTTGAATCGATTTCCGACCCCGCGATAGATGAAAATTCTTATATATTCCCTATATCACATCACTTGTCACGTGAGTAGTATTACTGATTAGCCGGGTCGAGCCTAACGGATTTTGAGAACTGTAAAAATATTTCTCGACTTACTCGATATTTATTAATCGAGTCAAATCGTGTGAGATTGGATATTCACAAACTACAATACCCCAAATAAATTGTGACGTCATCGAATGTCTCAATTCTTTCATTTACTATAGGTCATTTTAATCTTTCGCCCGCAGTTGGGGACCACGTCGAAGTATTCAATTGGCTCTTGGTCGTACCGCGTAATAAAGTTTTTATAATTTTTTCGTGTACCATTTGTGGGACGACACCTGGTAGGTCCCTGTCACAAGAAGTAGATTAAAATGCTACATCGATCTTTTTATCGTATATGAGTTCTGTGTTTTTGGTTTGATAATCTCACCTAATAGGACATCTAGAAGGAGATTGACATTTGAGATCGTTATCGCACTCCAACCAAAGATATTGATAACCAATATTGGCTTATTCGCAAGGATCAACTACTATTTATCCATTTTGCTTTGAAATTTGGATACCATATGGCTGTGAGAAAGTTAATATTGTATCGGTTATCATAGAACACGTGGTAGTCTTTTCTAGATGTTTAGTGTGCTTCATACATTCTTTTCTGAGAGTATTATTAGTTAATCGGGACGTAAGGATTGACCCCAAAAATGACTATTTGGTGTTTAATAGCCCTGAAAAGACTTGTATTGATTATATTATAAAGGCAAATCTTTCGGATATCCTAGCTAGTAGGATCACTTCTCAGATGCTAGTCATGGCTAAGCCATTCTCCTTTGGATTTCTTTTATAATAATAGACTTGTCTTTATAATATTAACAGTTTGTTATATCGGGCACTACGTATTCTGCGAATTAATAATCCTCCGATTCATAACTTTTTCCTATTTCCTGATTCAATCACAATACCCGCAAAACGAAATCTATCTATCTTTGGTTATAAATTTAAAAAAAAAAATGAATTGTAATTGTCACTTAAATAAAAGAAGGATATATTTCTGGTTCTCCTCTAAATAAATATAGTATATATGATAAATTATGACGTATAGGGAAGGGATCAATTTCACCAATCAGGAAGCGACCCGGAATATATATCGCATTACAAAAAAAAAGACAAACATATATACATTACATTACACATATCTAACAAAAGTTATTCCCCCCTAGTGAACCTTTTGGTTAAAAATAAATTTACTTCGACGTTCGAAGTCGAAGTAAAGCATATGTTGCTTTTACTTGCGTTTTGATGATTCTTGTTGAAAGACCGTCTTTTCCAAGCTGCGCGTAGAGTATCCCCAACCTTTTTTTTTTATTTTATGTAACGGATAAAAATTTTAGTAACCTTTTTTAAAATTATTAAATAATCATGATAGTTATCCCATCGAGGTATTTACCCGGATGTTGATTACCGCGAAAGTCTAATTCCGTAAGCGAAAACGGTAACAAACACCATTTCGTATTCCAACCTAAACTGCTGATGCGCCATACGAGATTGGTTTGGGTTAAATTAATAAAAACCGTACCTCCCGAAGAGGGAAGGCTAAAATGGAAATAAAAATAACCGTCAGACTTCTCAATATCACCTAGCCCCGCGTTATTCGTGAAATAATTTCCCTTTTCTATGTCTCCTCCATCTAGATATATTAATACATCAATTTCTTTTTAGCGTCCATTATCCGATGCCTAACACTAAATTTATCGAAATTAAGTACGGGCTCTAAAGCCAGAATGTAACCCAAAGATTTTATTATATTGGCTATTGGGTTTGATTATTCTAAACTAGGATAAAGGTTAAGAAAACCTTAAGTTTTTAGATAAGTCCTATATATAAAAAAAAATAAACTATTCAAAAGTTTTAAAAATTGCATAAATTTTGTAAGTTTTGAAGAGATACGAAACATGTCCTGAATTTTCCATTAAATTTTCAAGAGTATTGTTAAATTTTCCATTTAAAATATTCAAAATGTTTTGACGTGAATAATTTATTATTTCTATATTTTATATAAAATTTCACGATTCGTAAAACTTTTAAAGAATCACAAAACATTCGTGAAATAGAAAAGATCATTATTTAGGCCAATATTTTAATTTTATACATAAAAATGGCTTATATTTATTATCGTTGAATTCGTTAGATTTATTTTTTTATAGTGGAGGTAAATCATTCGCGGTAATATTCGTGGTTAAGTTTTCGAGGTAATTATATTTCGCGGAAGACAATGTTATTGATTGGTTATCGAGATTCGCGATAATTAAATTTCGAGGAAGATTTTATAATAATTATACCAATTTTATAACAATATTTATGTTATACGCAAATTATAACGCATTTTTTCCATTTTTTTTTATTTTAAAAAAATCATGAAACGCCATTTTCGGGTCGGGTCGGACAACCCGTATAAAAAATATTTTTCGGACCGGATCGAGTAAAAATTGCTAGGCCAGAAGACCCCGAGTTGAGCTCTATGAGTATAATATAAGCATACTAATCTGCAACTTGTGCAAATATAAATATTTCATAAAAATTATTAGGGATTTTATTTTTTAAATTAATATCTTTCTAATTTGTCAACCATTTCCGTGGCCTCAAAACCCATTTTGTTTGACGTTACATTTAATAATTTATTCCGTAAATAAATAAATAAAATAATTTCGAAATCTAATTATTTTCAAAAATAAACAATATTTACATACCGGAAAAATTGTTAATATTTTCTTTAATTTAAAAATCCTATATAAAATAGATCACATTTCAATAAAATGATATTATAATATTTCTGTTCTTTTAAAATGTAATTAAAATCACATGTTTTTTAAAAGAAATATTTTGTGTCAAAAACAAAATATATTATGGGTATGAATTAGAGCAATTTTAAACTTGATAGAAAGAAAGAAAGAAATAAAGAAAGATATATATAAAGAAAGAAAGAAAGAAAGATGTTAGGGTTATGTGCTACTATATAAATGATTATTGGGATTTGCAAGAAAATATAAAATTTTAATCTAAAACATCCATAAAAAACCGCTACAAAGAATTGTGTATGTTTTTTACTTCTTGATTGCAAAAGCAGTATATGAGTGAAACGAAGAATCCTTGGAAGGAAATCAAGAAATAAGCTCCATATGTCCAAATGATGAAAAGTGCAGTATTCCATGGGGTCGGAACCAGGTTCAAGCTGTTGGTTATACCCAAGAGGGGTAGCAAGACAATGGCGGCTTTCACGGCTTTCCTTGGTTGTGAAAATGAATAATTTTAAAGGTAAGGAGGAAAGGTGTATATCTGATGCGACATATTGGATATTGAGGTAATTTAACTGATGACTATTTCTATGGTTGTCTCAAAACTTCCCTGCCATGAAAGTGGTTGATCCTTAGAAAATAATAGGTACCCATTTAAAAAATAAATGATTATTTTAATAGTTCTATTAAAAGAGTTTTGAAATTATAGTATGTATACATTTTTTTATGGTGTGTTTAAATGGTTGTTTTTGCATGACAATGAACCCTGGTTTTTGTTCGGGAAAATGAACTTGAACCCACCTAATCAAATGGGTCAATCTGGTCGACCAAATCCATAGACCCAAGCATCGACCCCAAACAACCCGAGTGCCTACCCAAAAAACTTATTATTATATTTTATTTGTGAATTTTTACCCTAAACGTATTTATTTTATGGATAGAGGACGAATATTTCAATTATTAGCGTAGAAATAATTATCCTCCTTATAATAATATCTATTTTTAAAAAAAAAAAAATTGTTCTTCTGTTTTACTTCTAACTTAGCAACTCTTAGGATCGGTGCTCGGGTCTATGGATTTGGTCGACCAGAGGGACCCATATGATAGGGTTGATTCTGGTTCATTATCTGGACCAAAACCCCGACAACAAATGCAAATTCGCCCCAACCAAGCAATTTAACCTCACTAGTATTTTTAAAAAATATGTATATTATAAAAATGGAGGTTCCAATGAGAAATTTTATTTTTTAATATTTTAGACATATAGAAAGATTATCAAAAAAATAATAATATATATATATATACTATACTTAGCCTGTTCCGCCTCCGTAGAACGCGTATCCCTAAGTTTTGAAACGAGAACTCGTATTATGTTGAGCAAAAAGATAAGATTAACCTAAGTCAAAATATAATAAAAAATGACACATGTCGCTGGGAGATGGAATTCATGGGCGAATCGTATTCTCTCAATTTTAAATCATAGACGGAAGGGGAAATTTTTAAATATAATGCATTCCTGCATACCTCGAGAATATCCTTACTGCGAATTTCAGACATTTTTGTAAGTCGAACTTATGAATTACTATATTAAAGATATTTACATAATAAAGAGAAATTTTTTAGATTTCAAAGTGTCCTGCAAACTCTGTACACATGGTGGGGAAGTTTTTGGGTCTAAGTTTAAACATGGTTTACCATTTATTTTAAATAATAAAATTTGAATAATGTTTATCGTTTATTTAGGGTGTTCAAATAGCCCCAAGTTAGCATGTTATCTTTCTAAAAATTTTGGTGGCTAATAGGCGACATGAACCATCATGATCTTATTATTTACAATATATATATTTTTTTTTAATAATTTATTTCATATTTATTTTAAAATATATTAAAATCGAAATAATTATGGTAATTAATTAGAACCATAAATTTATATCACCCGAGTCCGTATATAAAATGAAAATGCGCTTTGAAAATCTTGAAGAAAACAGGTGATTAACTAGTGCGCACAAATTGTGCCTTTCAAACGCATGCGTTGTAAGCGTAAATAATGCATTTTAAATGGCCTCGAGGCATATTGGCAAAATTACCGTTTGGCGTTATCAACCATTTAAAAAAGCGCAAATACTTTTTTGATTCTTCGCTATGTAAATTAAAAATGTTATATAAATATAACTTACTTATTATCTCAAAAACGGAATATTTTCCAAAATTAAAGAAAATAAGAAGGCAGACGATAATATAATTTTAAAAGACAAATCCTTTTTATTTTTAGAAAACTTATTTATAATTTTTGAAATCGACGGAATAATTAATAAAAAAAGGCAACGTCAATTTAAACAAGGGGGACGCGTTACGTTTTTTTTTTAAATTTAAAAAGTTAATGATTATAAGAAGGGACCCGCGATTAAGATTTTAGCCAAAATCATATGATCTAAGCCTGGGTGATTTAGCTCACGAGATGGGCAGAAAGGTTTGTTGGATGTCTATTTATACTGGTTTTGTTAAACGGCCAGCAACATTATAGTCATGGAAAATATTACTTAAAGCGTCGAGGATGTCGCCAATAGATATTTAATCCCCCCCCCCCTAGTGCATATAGCAAACTAGGTTGCTAAACGGTAAATTGAACCGTTTAACTACACTAATTTATACGAGGCTCACAAAATATTATTTTAGCTAAAATCTTGAATCGGCCAGTTTTTTAAAAATGGATCCCAAACCGGGGCTTTTTAAGAACACTAATTACCAGAGTTGTTAAAGGATCTAGATACAAGTATCTAGATCCTGTATCTAGATATAAAAATGTGGTATCTGTAACTGTATCTAGATATTATTTTAGACGATGTATCTGTATCTAGATCCATTTAAAAAGTATCTTTTAACAACTCTGCTAATTTATAGGAGGCTCACAAAATATATATATTCTTTTTTAATTATTACTATGATAACTGCTAATCTTGGACCTTCCAGGATCCAATAGTATTTGGAAAACGAATATAGGTACCAACAGCTAAAAATTAAAAAAAAAATATATAGAGTGATTTAAAGAAATCTAATGTTTGTTAAAATGGGCTTGAATTAATCGATATTTTTTTTAAAAAAAAACACGGAAAACGAGCTTAGAATATTTGGCCCGCCAAGTAGATGGAAGATAATGTTTGGAACATCTGTTTGGCAAAATTTTCGATATTTAGAAAACAATATTTTGCCTAAACTTGAATTTAGAGGCCCCGTTTTTATTGTTAAAGTTATCAATTATAAAATGATTGAGAGTTGTTACCTGGATTTATTTTGGACTCTAGAAAATATTCCGGCCCAAACGCCAGTCAAGATCAGTGGAACACCTTTTTAACAATAAAAAAATAAGTAAAAGTAATTGTATTTGAATTGATAGATTTACAAAAAAATATATATTTTAGGGCTAAACTGATTGAAAAAATGGTTTTGTTATTATACTGTTTAAAACCCCTCGTAATAATGCTTGGTATGTAAGCTACCATTGAGCCATCTTATATTTTACTATATTTTTCTTTCTTTCTATTATTAGATTCCCTAGTAAAACAAGCCTCCTGGGTGAAGTTATGGTTAATAAACCATAGACAACTAGGTTAGAATTAATATAATATTAAAAATAAGGGCTCAATAGCTACCCATTTATGGATTATCCTAAAGTAAAACCTGTTTTGTTATATCTCGTTATTAGCGATATTATAATCTATGGGACCGGGTGTGGCAATTATTATTAATAATAGAGTGCAGAAAAACATCTTTTTCACAAAATACAAAAGAAAAGTATAATAAATCTCATCTATTTCTAATGCTTTATTTTCAAAATATGTATATATATATATGTGTCGCATATGGGAATTCGAATCTCTTGATTTTAAATCCTTTGCCGAGGGCGTTTAAAAAATTTTAAAATCCGATTTAACCGGAAATGTATTCTAGCATGTGTAGAGTATTTACCATATAAATTCAGCCAATTTCAGCTAGACATTTTAGTATTTTTTTAAAATTTATATGAAAAATCTATATAAAAATTAATATAAATTAGAAGTAGTTCTAAAGTTCATGACAAAATTGACTGAAATTTATAGGGTAAATACTCTACACATGCTATAAAATACATTTCCGGCTAAATCGGATTTTAAATTTTTTTAAATAAAGGATTTAAAATCAAGAGATTAAGAATCCCCATGGATTCCGAATCGCGTTACGACATAATATATAAATATTATTTAAATATATCAGAATTGGGAAAAAAGACTATATTTATATTACCCCAGCCAATCGAGTTAAATATCCACATGTTGGGTTTGGATTCGAAGACGGAGGCAACGATTATGTTGTGCAGATGGAACCCTTCCACCAACATCCACATGAAAAGAACGGTTTTAGCGTATTCGAGAAATATGTAAAACGTTTCGCATAATATCTCCTTATGATGAATTGGTTTTTGTTTTAAAAAAAACAACAAATAGTTAAATTATGTGAATTGTGTTTATAATAATAATCATATTACACCCTTTGTAGCAGCATTATGGTCAAATCAAAATAAATGTTTTTTTTTAAAGACAATATCAACTATATAATATATTTTTTTAAAAATTCGTTGTTGTAGATAGTGTCATTAACCGGCTCTGTTTTGGGCCGATTTTAAAAAACTTTCTAATTTCACTTATTTTTATCCAGAAAAAAAAAATACTATACAACCCCTGAAGATTTTGCTCATTGATGACACAAAGGATTGAACATCTTATTAGCTAAATCTCGAGATCTAGGGCAATATCTTTCTGGCTAAAATATTGTTTTTAGCTCTTTTTACTAATTTGGCTTAACGAGTCGTTTAACAACACTAGTGATAGAGATTGAGGAAGGTTAAGAGTTCGTATTTGATAGAATAGAATTAACAAGGTTTGGTTGGTGAATTTTATTTTTTATAACTAATTTCGTAAAATAAATATTATATTTAAGCGAATAAACAAAAAAATAACCGAAGTCTGAAATAATGTATAAATTATTGATATTATTGAACTGTATAGTATATATAGGTAATTTTTGTTTCTCTTTGTTAATATAGAGGTCAAAGATAACTTTTTATTTTTCTTCCTTCTCATCTTTCTTCTCTTCTCTTCTCTTCTCTTCTCTTCTCTTCTCTTCTCTTCTCTTCTCTTCTCTTCTCTTCTCTTCTCTTCTCTTCTTCTCTTCTCTTCTCTCTCTTTAAGAAAGAAAGAAAGATATAACAAAATATCCCCTCAGAATAGTAAAAAAATAAATAAAACTTTAAGGGTCAATTGAACTAATTGTAATACGAAAATATCGCTTCAGAACAGTAAACATATGAACATTTAAATATAATTTATCACAACATGTAAATTTTAAGATAAAATTAATAATTTTTTTTTATCAAATATATAATATATAGAAGATATATATTATCAAAATTGGAGGGGAGGGTTAGTAGCAAGAGACCTACATAAACCAGAACGGCCCCCGACCCATGGACCGGGCCTGGGTTAAAAATTTGTTTTTAATGGGCTCGACCTGGGCTTTGGCTTAAAATTATTAATAATTAAATTTTTTATTTTTCTTCTAATGATAATATAAATTTTTAGCTTTGTATAACAAAATGATTACCTAAATACACTTAAATATTGTTTGATTTTCATTAAATAAATGAAAAAAATAAATAAATTTATGGATATGGTCTTGTGGGAAATCTTTTTGAAACATATCATGGGTTTGGAAATTTCTCTTTTAATAATAAATATGGGCCGGGGGTCTGGGCTGGGCTCGGTCTAAAAATTAAGGCCCATTGAAGGCCTCTGGTTTAGCACCCTCTATAATTGGCAATATACCGTATTATCTATGCCTTTATGTCCGGAAGATTTAACAGTAACGTCGCTCATGTAGATAGATTTAGTGGCGTATTGGTCGGAATATAGAATCAATCGAATTAATACTTGTATTATCATGGCTATGAAAAGGTGCCTGTGAATCTTTGTTCGGTCATTCCTCAAATTCCTAATTTTAAAAAAATAATTATTATTTATCAATAATACTTTTCTCACGATCTTATAAGAAGTATGCAAAAAAATAGTATTCTTAAACCCCCCCCCCCACCCCCAATAGTAAATAGCGCAAATACGCGGGGTATTATACAAAATACGCTGCATTTTTTTGTATTCTCTGCCACGAAATTGGGCAAGGTATATTAAATACGCGCTATTTTTTGTATTCTCCGCCACGGATTCGCGCTTAGTTGTGGGCAAGGTATACAAAATACGCGATATTTTTTGTATTCTTCGCCAAGAACCGCGCTGAGTTGCGGCGTATACAAAAGCTAATACGCTGTATTTTGTATTTTTATATACTTCGTCGCGATTCTTTCTCTAGCGTCGTAAAAGAGATTATTTTTTTGGTTCTTGTGGCTTGAATGACCAGTAGCGGTATATTTTTATTTAAGAAATAAACATACGGTCCAATGAGCATATTTATATTTATAGATCATCCAATGAACGCCTTACCATCCAAAACAAATTATAGATTTTTTTCAACGCACCTTAAAATGTTCTCCTTATCTAATTGGCTATAAAACATTTTTTTTATAAAATAAACCTTTATCAAGACTAGCACTTAAAAAAAGTGTTTCAAATAGGTTTAAAGAAGTTACGCGATTGAAAAACGCTCATAAATTATATTTCGATATCCGGTGGACATTTTCAAGTTTCCAAACTTTGGTTTAAACTCGGTCTCTCCCCTTCCAAAGAAATAAAAACACACAACCTGAAACTGAAGAAAATCGTGATGGCCGCTATTAGGGATATGAGCGACAGGCTTAATCCAACCATTTCCATGATCCTGGCTCCGTGAGTAACGCTCGAGAATAGCTATAAGATTCGAAGAAACATTGTATATTAATTTATAAATAAAACGTGACATAGTATAAGTGTATGGTAGAGATCTCACTCATCCCCGAAAAACCCAACCCTCCCGACCAGACCCCATGGATTGGGTGGGTTCGACCGGGTCACGGGTCAGGTTAGTTAGTACACATAATCATAGTGTTAAAGCAATACGTACATCCAATCGTGGTTTAACTTTGTTGAGGAGCTCGCTCGCCTCCGGTTTCAAGCAAAGGGTGTAATTCGTCCAACCCTTCGTCGACGTGCTAGTAGGGTATTTATCTATCCAAGTTCCGGTGAACGAACACTTACGAAATGCATATTCTTTGTCGTTTAAGTTTAAAAAAATAATAATTTTAAAAAAGGAAATGAGAATTAGTGATCTGCGTCGGGCCTAATTTTTCAAGCCCGACCCGAAAATTTTTTAAATAAATACCCGGCCCGGCCAGAACCCGAAATTATAAAATATTAGGCCTGACTCAGCCCGAATCCGCTTTTTTGAAATTTTTAATCATTTTTTATTGTGAGCGCCTTAAATTAAAATGGCGTCAGAGATGAAAAGTTTTCAAATTCCAAAGAACGGCGCAGAATTTATTTTTTTTAAATAAATAGAAAAGAAATGAAAGTTTAATTTAGATTTATAATCCATTTTTTGGGTTCGAAAATTGGAATGTTCCATCTGATTATTAAATTATTTATTTTTTTCAAAGTAGGCAATCCATCCATTTTTTTTTATATTTCCCCGCTTTCGTTTAATTTACCCGTATTTTTTTTAAGCGGACATTTAGCTTTTAATAAAAAAAAATTTAGCGCATCAAAATCAAATCACAAACAATCAGAAACCAAGAGAATTAATTCTTAATTCCTCAGATAGGGAATTCCTAATTCCCTAATTCCTCAGACAGAAACATACAAATCAATACTTTCAAAATTTAACTACATTTTTTCTATTTTTAGTAACCTCAAAATTACGTTTTTCTTAAAAATTAAATTTTTGTTTCTTTTAAAATAATATATTTATAGATAATATTAAAAAAAATAAAAAGTTGACATTTAAATCTTCATAAGGGAAATGATAAATGAAAGGTCGGGTTTGTCAGAATTTTTTTTTTGTTAGTTACAAATTATTCATTGAAAGAAAGAAAGAAAAGAAAGAAAGAAAGAAAGAAAGAAAGAAAGAAAGAAAGAAAGAAAGAAAGAAAGAAAGAAAGAAAGAAAGAAAGAAAGAAAGAAAGAAAGAAATATGGCTTTTGTCAGCATTCTATCTGTAATATAAGTGGTATATAAAAAAAATATGACAAAATTCGATTTTATAATATTATTGTCGTATTGGAATTGAGTTAGCCGTGACAAATCTAGATACAAATCTTCTAAAAGATTAATTCATCTTTGTAAAGGGGGAGAAAAAAAAAATTACGTAATTTTTATCTCCTTTTTTAAAAAAATTTGTTATTAAAAATAAAATTTTTATAGTGGAATCTAGTAAGCTAATTCAATATTTTGCTGCAAATTTTATCTCGACAGCCGATTTTGAAATTTCGATACTATATGTCAGAACCTTTGTTTCCTTCTGTGAGCAAAATTTTTAGGCTTGCGTAATATTTTTCTGGATAAAATACTGTGTTAGCCATTTTTAAAAATGGGCTCAAAACGACCCGTTAAACAACACTAATTCACAATTTATCTTAGATATTAAATCTACGAATAATTTTAAAATTTTTTAAAATTTTGTCACCTCACAATCATTCTATAACTTCCTTCTGTTGTCAGAGTTAACCTATAAAATAAATTTGTTTTTTTTAAAATATAATATCAGAATTTCGAATAGATTTTTTTATAAAACATGCATGTTTTTTTTTGGCTGTTTTTTTCCCCCATTTTTTTTAAAAAAATTTGAGAAATAAAAGTTATCTTTGGTCCATCTATGTTAGTGTTGTTAAACGGCTCATTTTGAGCCTTCATCCAGAAAAATATTAGGCCAGCCTGAAGATTTTGCTCATAGAAAGGAACAAAGTACAAGACATATATTATCGAAATTTTGAGGCTTAAGGCAATATTATTCTGGCTAATATATTGAAGTTAGCCGTTTAACAACACTATGGCCTTAGCGTCAATCTTCAGGCTTGCGTAATAATTTTCCTGGATAAAATAAAGAGTTATAGCCATTTTTAAAAAAATCGGCGGAAACGGGAGTAGTTTAACAATACTTAGTTTATCCATCTTAAAAAACTTTAAAAAAAAACCCATGAAAAGTAAACCAGTAAATAATAATTTTATCGGATACCCGCTACCATTTGTACGGCCCGGTACTGACCGAAGCCCGGATTTTTTTATAAAAAAATTTTCAGACCCGGCCCGGGTTTTTTTAAAATATATTTTATTTATTATTGATTTTTATAGCTAATAATGGCGATTTCAAATATTTGGTTTTGAAATATAAGGCAGGCCCGGCCAGGAGATATCTGAGTTTTATATAGCAAAACTTTTCACTTCTCTCTCTTATTTACATAAATATATATATAAATCAATAGTTTATTTTCTAAAACAAACAATTTCTGTTTTATATATATATATATGTATAAAATGGATATATTAGCGTATTATAATAAAAACCATAATCGATCAATAATTTTTTAATAGTTAGTTTAATAATTTGTTTTATATATATATATATATATACATATATATAAATCTCCTTATGCAGTTAGATTTAAATATAACTTAACTAACCAAAAAAAAAACTATCATTAATTCTCGTTTAATTTATTAACAATAATTATATGTAATTATTGCGACATTAAAGTTTTTATATATAATAATTAATGCATTAATATTAATATTTTATATATATATATTTTCACATATTCTTGCACTGCACTTTAAAAACTATTAAATTTTGTACATATATTAAATATATACTATATATAATTTATAATTTTTGTCCAAAAAAAAAACCTATCGTAAAAATAATTTATTTTTTGGTATTTTCCCTCCTTGTCAAGAAGTAATAAAAAAATTGATTTATTCCTTTGAATTTTCGAAAGAAAAAAATTAATAATTTGTGGTTAAGTGAAGTATCCTCCTTATTAGAGGTCCACAGAATGCCAAGATTTTCGGGCAAGTTAAGAAATTTGGTTTATTACCGCTCGGTCAATTTTCGGGCCAGCTAAGAAATTTAGTTTTCTCTGGGCCCCGTCTAAATTCAAGAAATAAAGAATATTTCGTTTTTTGAATAGGCCTAACCAACATAATAATTCCAAAAGACCAATGCCAAAAAAAATATTTAAGAACTTGTCGAAAGTTCATAGAAAACTTTTATTTATTTTATTTTTGCTTGCAGAAAATTTCTATGAACGTTTTTTTTCTGCAGAAAAATTCTCAAAAGCATTTCTCCTGCTTCTAAGTTATCAGAAGGATAGGTACCGTAAATACCAAAAATGTCTCTTGCAGATATAGTTTGGGTAATCAGTTTTTTCAAGCCCAGCCCGGCCCGAACACGTAATTTTTTTTGAAAAAATTAACCGGCCCGGCCCGGCCCGAATTTATTTAAATAATAGAAATTAATTTTTATGAATTACTCAAAATAAACGATTATATGTTATATGTCGTCTAGTTTCTATAAATAAAATCAAATATTTTTTATTTTAGATAAAAAAATTCAATATAAAATTGATAAATTAATTTAAGATATAATATTTTAAAAAAAAATTTCTAAGACCCGACCCGGCCAGCCGTTAAGTCAATTTTTAGCTAGGCTAGGGGGGGAGGGGGGTTTAAAAAAAGACAGCTGCTCAAATTTGGAATGTGACCGGATTTTCTCTGGAAAGCGCCTGAAGATGGATCCGAATTAGCGGACTCCCTAGAATTTCCAAGAGAAATCCTTATCTTTTTCCCTAACCACTCCAAGAAAAGATTTTACTTTTTTTTAAGGAATATTAATTTTATATTTTATCTGATTTTCATTTCCCCAAAAATAAAAGAAGAAAAGATAACAAAGAAGGGGAAAGAAAAAAAATCGATACAACAACATTAAATAATATAATATACATTTTTATTAAAAAAATAAATTTTTGCGATTTTCAGCTACACTTAATTAGATTAAATATGTAAGGTTTTTTTTTCTTCTGCTATTTATTTATTTCTAACATTTTTTTCTTGAATGTAGAAGAAGGATGAAGGGAAGATAGATGGTATAACATTTCATTTTTAAAAAAGATTATGATTAGATTAGATAAGAGAAGAGAAATGGAAAAATATTAAATAAATAATTTTTTTTTATTTTTGGTCAGATAAATTTGTAAAAACTAAAAAATTATATTTAAAAAAAAAAATACATCATCTTTCGTGACTGGTTTCAAAAAAAAAAACAAATTACAATAATTATTTTATTTACTAGCAGGTAAACCCGTCAATGGTGTTGTTAAACGTTTCTTTCTTTCTTTCTTTCTATTTAAGCCGATTTTCTGAAACGGTTAGCTCAATATTTTAGCCAGAAATGAATGTTCCAAGTCTCTAGATTTCGCTAATTGATATCCAAACCCTGGTGCCATCTATGACCAAAATGTTCAAAAAAAATTTACTCCCTCCCCCCAATCTTTTCTTTTTGTTATCTCTATTAACTTACCATATAAAAAATACGAAAGCGATAAACCAAGCAATCAACTATCATTTTTTTGACTAAACAAAGGCTTCTTATTTTTAATAATCGAAATTTTCTAACACTTTTATATTTGTATATAGCTGAGGAGGTTGATACAGTTCTTAGACACAGGATTGGTCGATAAAATACAAAACACACATAACGTTCCCGCCTGAATTTTGGGTTTTATGATTGGCTAAAAGAATATTGGATCATATAATCGGTACAGAAACAGAGGCCATGTCTCAGGAGCGTAGTGCCAAGTCTTCTAATCTGGTGGTTGACAAAAAATTACGGTCAATTCACCTCAAGTAGAATTTCTTCCCTTTCTGTAAAAATAAGATCGATAGGTGGGAAACAAATAATTCGAGGACTTATCTTGGCGTGTTGCGTGTTACGATATTTTGAAGGTAGGATGTTTTTTTATTACAACTTCTTTATTTCCCGTGTGGTAAGTTTCAAAAACAATGGCGCCCATTTTAGATTTGATATCCAAATAAGAGACCGAGTTTAATAATTTAGTTAACCGAACCCTAAAAAGTGATATAACCCCCCTACGTTATTTTATTTTTTTGTAACGATTAATTGATGTGTTTGTTTGTTACGTAATCAAAAATGAGATAAGAAAAATGTGACATAATCGGGTTAGAAATTAGAAAAAGCTAAATATTTGAAAATTTCAATTTTTTTTTGCAAGGTTATTATATTAAAGAATAATGATTAACTTGTGGTGAATGTCAACAAATTTTGAACAAAAAAAAATGACAATATTTTATAATAACTCTAATTTGTCAAAATATTATTTTTTTTTAGTAGGCAAAAATGGCCAAAATGTTGCAAAACCTTTATATTAAACCTTGAATATAAAATAGAATTCCATTTTTCTTCTTCCTCTACGACTTTGTTTACGAACACGACAAATAGTAGTTACCATATTTTATTTTTATAAAAGATTTTTTTTTTAGCCTTATAAGATGCATACTAAATAAAAAAAGCTATATTAGGATAAAATTTAAAACATAATATATTAAATTTTCAAAATGAGATTTAAGAGGTTCGCCAAGCCCCGGGGATTTATCTAACTCCAGTCTCCCCTAGAAAGAAAGAAAGAAAGAATAGAAAGAAACAATAGAATAGAAAGAAAGAAAATACGGAATCAAAGATTATTTTAAAGCCCTTCCAAGGGCTTTCTAACATGGGGTAGGTTTGGTACGATTACGAAACAATTGGTTCACTTAGATATTTTTTTTCTAAAGGGGGAAGGAGACCCTCCATTTTATAATTGAAAATATCATTTTATGCTTAGTCATCAGAGAGATCCCGGAATCACTGATTTAGAGGAGGTGGGGGGGGGGGGGGGGGTTGGTTAAAACATATTCACGCTAATTTATTTAGTTGCATCGATACACGCCGCTCTCGATCTATAAATTAGAGGTCTTTCCAGAGGAAAGTTATCGCTTTTTTTAAAAAAATTGTCCGGTCCTATATAACTTTTCAAATTTTTTAGAAAAAAAAGTTATAAAACAGCCGTACCCAAAAAGAGGGCGAGAATTATTATCATATATTCTATTCATTTTCAGCGATTCCTAAAATTATAAAGAGGAATTTAAGCTGTCGGAATGCTGTCAAAAAAAAATTTCGTTCAAATTGATGTAATCAGTTTGAAATTTTATCAAAAAACAATATATTTAGAGAAAAAAAAACTGCGAAGTAAACAAAAAAAATGGAAGGGGGAGGATATGTGATAATTGATTATTTGAGTGACAAAATTGAAAATATAAATTTTACTTGATTGGTCAATGCCCTTGAGAGGGGGACAGGACTGCATAATCAAAACGCCCGCTTTGGTGGGAGGCCAGCATAGGATAGAATCGTAAGAGGCGTTGCAATATGGTTCTTATATAAGTATATATATATATATAATAAATTTATTTGTTATATAATATTATAGGGTAAGTCGCCAAATCAGAAATAAAAGAAAGAAAAAAAGAGAGAAAAAAGAAAGAAAGAAATAAAAAAGAAAGAAAGAAAGAAAGAAAGAAAGAAAGAAAGAAAGAAAGAAAGAAAGAAAGAAAGAAAGAAAGAAAGAAAGAAAGAAAGAAAGAAAGAAAGAAAGAAAGAAAGAAAGAAAGAAAGAAAGAAAGAAAGAAAGAAAGAAAGAAAGAAAGAAAGAAAGAAAGAAAGAAAGAAAGAAAGAAAGACGTAGGGATCCCTTCCTACAACATTCGTTCATTTATACCCAACGGGTCTGCTTCGGTCTGTCCTAAATGAACCGTGGCGAACTTTCCTAGTGCTAATTATTTTTTTTAATATCTTAGTTTCTTAAAATCTACATATCACCTAATTTCACGATATTTTATGAATCTTCTAATTCAGTAAATAGAGGAAATTATATTGTATTAATTTGATCGCGGAAGAAAATTTATTATTGAAACATCATTTAGAAATAGTGCAGTTTTTATTGTACTATCAAGCAATATTCAAAATGATTTGATTAATTCTATTTCATATGTCTTACACCAAAAAATAAATTACTATTAGTAAATTCCAAATAATCGATTTCCCAAATATTTATTAGTTAATTTAAACGACACTTATTCTCAATTTTTTTGACTTACACAAGCTGGAAACCGAATTATGTAGTGTTTCGGGATATTGAATTTAGAAAGAAAGAAAATGTTAATGAAATACTTGAATTTTTAATATGCACCGATTTGATGAAAAGTTTTAAAGAGTTTTTTAAATTATGCAAATTCATCTTAACTTTGGCTTCAACAACAGCAAGTGCAGAACGGAGTTTTTCATCTTTAAAAAGAATCAAATTATATAGCAGAAACAGGATGAGCCAAAATCGATTATCAAATCTATCTTTGATTTCGATTGAAAAAAAAATTATTAAAAAATTTAAAATCTAGCGATAACTTTTATAGACGAATACCACTTATTTATAAATCTTAATGTTTTTATGGTTTGAGTTTGACTAAAAAAATAAAAAAAAATTTTTGATGGCTTCCCTAGTAGTAAACTTGACGCTTCGTCACTGCTAAAAACCATATCTATTTTTAGTCTATTTTAACCCAGCTCAACCCAACCAAGGCCAACCCATTAAGACTAAGAGTGAATACTATTTTTTTGAATAAAAATATATTTAAATTAGATTTTATCTGAGGGCCATATAAATATTCTGTGTTAAATATTACACCTATGCCTAATATTAAAATTCCCAAGCAGGTCCGCACTTGGTTTTCTCAAACCCACAAAAGACCATAATAATTTTGAAAGTTGAGGACTGAAATAAAATATATAAAAAGTCACAATGCATTTAAAAATACAATCAGAATATGAAAGTTGCATGGGCCTTGGTTTTTTGATCAGGCTTTGCCATGTCTTCAAAAGAAATTTTCAGGCCAATTTCTAGCTCTTATTTAAAATTAAAAAATTTACAGGAATCTTAGACTATAATAATTATAAAAAATGTTTGTCAAGCTATGTCCAAGTCCATATTAATAGTGAAAAATATTTCCCAAGCCAAGGAAAACCCAAATAATTTATTTTGATCCAGAAAAATAGGTCTGATGTAAGGGGTTTATAAGAATTAAATCTGTCTAATTTAAAATTATCATCAAATGAAGGGTAAATATCTGATTTACCTATGATTCTACTGGTGAGCTCTGGTATTTATATGAAATTCATGAATACATATTAAAGTATCATTCTGAAAATATGTTCATCCTAATTTAAATTTTAAACAAACCAAATGATTTATTACTAAGTTACAAAATATAAAATTAAATTTAAGGAATTGTTATTAAATTACAATAGAAAAAATAAAAAGATATGTCTAAGTTAACAAATAATAGGAGGTAAACTTCAATCATAGTCAAATTATATATAGGTAAAACAAAAAGGTTATACATTTAATGAAAAATGTTATAAGTTATGACAATTATGAAGTTATGAGTAAATATACAAAATTTTTCTATCCTATGAGGTTTTATTTAAAAAATTTCTATTCTAAATATTCAGGAATATGTATAATATTAGGTGTGTATTCAGTGCATTCAATGCACAAGCAAAGATGTCAACTGTTAATTAATTTATGAAAGTTGCATGGGACATGGTTTTTTGATCAGGCCTGGCTATGTCTGCAAAAAAATTTCAGCAATCTATAACCCATATTTAAAATTCAAAAATCTTAGAGCACCTCTATTTTAAATTTTACCCAATATGATTTCCATCACATTTTTAAATTTTGATATTTCTAATACATGCTCACTGTATACATTGCAACAATTTTACCTCTTTTTCTCTTAAATTTTAATTATAAAATTTATAAATAAAGTATATTTATTACCATACACACAAACTAAATAATTACCCTTCAATCCAATCCAATCAGCTAGTATAGTAATAATAATAAACGGTAGAATTTTATATGAATAATTAATATATTAAATAATTATATTAAAGTTAGTGCATGCGTAAAGCATGTACTTTTGAAACTTTAATATATATATAACTAATATTTTAATTATATTTATATTCAAGTTGGTGCATGCGATAAAGCATATGCCTAACGGGAGGCTTGTGTTCGATTCAAGGAAGAGCAAAAAATTCCTTAAATTTAAAATACATTAGGAGACACAAAAACGATTATGTTTTAATTATGGAGATTATATATATTAGATTATATATATTAGATTATATATATTAGATTATATATATTATATTAGATTATATATGATTATATATATTAGATGTAACTGTTATACGACAAAGAAGTTGGTTGTTAGATGATCACTTTTATCTCATTAATCCATAGTGATTGACATCATTATTGATGTTTGACATGTGTATAACATATGATTTCATTAAGATATTATGGAAGACTATATATATATATAATCTACGAATAACATTATTTGATTGACATTAAATATTATATATAAAAATACATAATTACAACAATTAGTTATTTTATTTTCTATATCATTTAATTTTCCCATCAAGAATAATGGCAGAATTGGAGTATTCATCTTTATTCAATTTTGGTCATTTATGTACCAATCGTTTGTTCATATTTGAAAGTTTAGTAATATATATATTTTTAAACATATTTTAAGAGTAATAGAAAAATTCGAGAATCATATGAACATTAAAATAAAAGGTATGTTTCTGATTCACGCGCCAAATTTTCTGATTCGTTTGTCATCAACCAATTAAAAAATGTCCGAATCGCTGGCCATTTTTGGCGAATTAGCGGGCTATTTAAATATAATTATAAAGCTTTTAAAAAATTATGATATCTTTAATTTATAAGGCCAAACCAATTAAATATATACATAAAAAAAATTTTTTTATTAAGTTGCATCGACTATACTAATAATTTTTTTTATTATTATATTACATTAAATATGCTTATGTTCATTTAACTAATAATTATGCAATATAATATAATCTTTCCGTGGTTAGATGTATAGCAGCATGCAAGGTTATATATATATTGCTTTCCCTATCTTGCCTTACCCTTAACTGGAAAATCCTGTCAAATTTGCAAAATCGACCTCAGTAAATGATTTAGAATTGAGAAATCATGATCACTCCATAGATGCCGTATTCCAATAAGACATTATGTACAATTACTTGGTGGTGAAGGGAGGGAGATAATGTATGGAAATAGAATATTGGAAAATCCTTTTAACCAGGGTTCTAAACCTGAATTCGGGTTCAGGAATTTTAAAACTCTATTTAGCGTATATATCGATAACCGAAACTTAATCAAAACAGATTTTCTAAAAGAGGTTCGAACCGGCCCTATTTTATACTACCCCGGGTTTTATATGTTGCCCCTAAATCTATCTCTGTTTCGTCTGTGGTTTTAAAGTGCCCAAACAAACAATTTTAAATTTCTAAACCCGAATTCGCCACAAATTATTCTGAAAACTATCATTTACCCCAATATTTCTCTTAATGAACATCATAACCAAGAATATTTTAATTATAATAGATATTTTTTTTTAAATTAAATTTTGTAAAAATAAGACTTTTCGATTTAGTTCAAAGAAAGAATAAATATTGATTTAAAAACTAATAACATTGTAGCGTGGCAATCAATAGAATGTTTAATATTAGACATAGGTTTTGATTGCTATATTTTATAATAATTAACTATACTAAAAACGAAATTATTGATTATAATTAGCTGAGTTATTTCTATTCATGTTTACAATATGGGAACAAATTTTAAATAAGTTTACAACTAGGTTGAGACTAATTAAGGATGTTATTTAAAGCTAATTACAAGATAATAAAGCAATAATTTTCAAATTTTATGATGTTTTACTTGTTGATGTCAAAATATTATAATTTTTCATGTTCGTTTATTTCTATGAAAAGAAAAGAAAAGAAAAGAAAAAAAAAAAAAAGAAAAGAAAAGAAAAGAAAAGAAAAGAAAAGAAAAGAAAAGAAAAAGAAAAGAAAAGAAAAGAAAAGAAAAGAAAAGAAAAGAAAAGAAAAGAAGAGAAGAGAAAAGAAAAGAAAAGAAAAGAAAAGAAAGTTGAATTATGCCCCCCCCCCCATTATTGATTTATTAGATCCAATTATTTATATTCGTAAAATACTAATCGAATCACGAATAAATCGTTTTAGTTACACAGTTGGGCAAGCTATTACAAATAAACTAAACCAAAAAAAATATATATATATATAACCCATATATATATATAATTTATATATATATAACCCATATATATATATCAATTTATATATATATATATAATTCCTATTCTTTGCATTACAGGAAGAGTTTCCGAATTAAGGTTTGGGTGTAGGGGTTAAGTTAGTTTTGATAAAAAACTCGAAAAAACGGCCTTACTAAGATTATAACCCAAAATAACATTATGTAAGTAGCCTAAATATTTTGCTCACACCTAGCAGAAATGCTTGGACATCTATTTGCCAAATCTTGATGCTTTACATTATATTATTTTAGCTAAAATCTTAATCGGACCCGTTAGTGAAAAAGTTTTTTTTTTCTCTTAAATATTTGCACAAATATATAGGCATGTTTTATAATTTATACAATTTTGTTCGGTTTGGGCCAGACTCGATTCTTAGATTTTTATCTAAGGAATGATCGATAAAATAAATAGGGGGGAGAAAATGCGAATAAATTTTTTTTTTATTAAATATTGTTTTTTTTATGTGTTTTTTTTTAAACATCCATCCATAGTCCTAAAATATATCGCAATATTGTACAATGCGATATATAGATTGAGAACGAAGATAAGATTTGATATGGATTGTACAGTAATAAAAAGAAAGAATAAGAAATTTCATTTTTGCAAATTTCTAGAAGAATTCATCTGGACGAAGGGTTCCTTATTCCTAACACTGAAGAAGGGTAAGGAATTACACCCTTTGTCAATACTATAATATTAAGTATCCATCTTCGTGCAGGGGGGGGGAGGAGGGGTTGCAGGGTGACTCTGATTATGGCGTAAGGCAAAAAATGTATAGATCAAAAAGGAAGACATTATTCTTAAAAATTTATAAATCGGTGATAATTTTATATATAAAAATATTCTTTGTTTGAAGTCACTTCTTGCAATCGAAACAAATCAAGAGAAAAGTCATTTTTTAGTTCACAAAAAACCAAAAAAAAAATATTAAGTTGACATTTTTTAATATGAAAAGATAGAAAAAACATTTTTCTAAAGATTATTTATAATTTATAAGATTATTAGGAAGATTAGAAGTATGAATAATAAAAGAATAAAATATATCACAAAAAGCTATATATATTTTTTTAAAGCAGTGTTCAAAGTTTGCGGAAAATTAGTTCATTTTTGGAAGAAGAGGGTGGCCAGGGATGTGAAACCGAACCCGGGAATTATCAACTCTATTTAGCGGAAATTTTGATAACAGGAAGTTAATCGAGACCAATTTTCTGAGAGTTTCGAATCCGTCCCGGGTCCGTTTTACCCCGGGTTCGATGTGTTGTCCATAAATCGGTCCCTGTTTGGTCTGCGGTATCAAAAATGCTTAATCAGTTCGGGTTCACATCCCTGAACGTGACCAAGGCTTTCTACTAGGGAGGAGAGGTATAATATGCAATATCGTCATTTGAAATTGGAGGGAGGGATGGTAGTTATAAAGATGCCACCGCCATTCGTGAAGATGTTACCGCCATTTGAATAAAATTGGAAGAGGGAGGGGGGGGGGGGTATTTATCTGGAGGAGGTAAATAAAATTTTACAAGGAATAAAGGAAAGTTTTTCAAGAGGATAGGGGGGTGGGGGAGCATTCAACCCCATGGTATTTTTAAACCGGGGCGAGTTGATCCCTTTAAGAAAAATCGGTCCCGATTATGTTTCACGTTAAAAGATTTGATCTAGTATTATCAAATGAAAAAATATATTTTTCATCTTACCTCAAAAAAAAAGGAGCAAACCATTAAAATTTTTAAGATATTTGGATCTCAAGCGATAAAAAGACAGCAAAAATTAATGACAAAAACAAAAAACGCGATTAAGGATGCGCAGGAGTCGAGAATATCAGTGGCCACACCCAAAGCAAATCCAAATGCTAATTTTTAGATGAGGGATTCACAAATTTTTGGCTTATACTTAGATTATAAATATTATATAATTAATATAATTATAATATTTATTTAATTAAATAATTATGATTTTGTGTTCAGTTTTTAATTATTAAATTTGTTTTCATCGTTTTTATCATCAAAACCAATAAAGTTTTTTGATCAATATATTTCTGTTTCTTTCTCTAATGTATAATATATCGCCGTCCTAGAATTGGAGTGTTCCACGCTTGCGCAAACATTAAATCAAAATATAGGAAAAGCTTATTGGTCAATTTTGGACAGTTATATAACTTTTATCAAAAATTAAATATTTTTTTTAAATCAAGTTTTTATTTATATATATATATATATATATTGGGGAATAAATAAATTATTATCCACTTCTATATACTCAAAAATTTAGAAAATGTCGAGTTGGACACTCCAATTATAGGCCGACGATATGGTTTATAATTTCTTTTAAAAAAATATTTAACTTAGTTAAGGGGAAAAAACTGACATACGTCAATCATTTTAAAATCATAAGGGGCGGTGTAGGCTGGGGATGCTGATTCCCCTTTCCCCTCGCGTAACAATAACTCTCAGTCTATTTTTTTTTTATCCTCCAGTTAAACAGAAATTTTTAATAATATATATATAACAATTACGATTTTTACGACTTTTTAATAATTCAATTATTAATTGTGGTCATCTTTACTCAAAACCAATCAAGTTTTAATTAACTCTAATATATATATTTTTTATTAAATTTATATAAAAATCAAAATTTGGCTATTTTTGGCTTCGATACAAAATATTTTTATAAAAAACGAAATCATCCATTTAAAATTTTTTAAAAGCTTGGTATAGAAAAGTGAATTTTATTAGATATTTTTTTTGCTAAAATTTCATTTTATTTTATAAAAAAAATTAACTCTTAAAAAAAAACCTTTGCTTTCTTTTTTTATTAAAACAAGAAACATTTTTTATTTATTTAGTGATGTTATTATAACGGCCAGCTTCTAAAACGGCTTAGTAGGCTAAACTTAGAAATTCTAGTCAGTTTTTTTAGGGGGGTAATCTTGACCACGATTGGAGGTTGGTCAGTGTTGGCTGATTCAAAATCACTAATTTTTTCTTTATTTTTATTAAAAACCAATTGCGAAATTTAATTATTTTCGTAAAATTCAATTATTAAATAATAATTTTGTGGTTTGTGTGTTTTTTTTCCTTTTATCATCCAAAACCAATAAAGTTTTAATTAAAAACTATCATGTTTTTTAAAAACCTAAAATCAGGGGAAAAGAAAATGGTCCAAAGTATTTCCATAATATATTATATATTAGTTTTTTTTTTGGTTCTTTCTTACAACTCAATATGTATGTATAAAATGTTAAATGAATTTTTTTGAAATGTAATTATTATTTTTTTATCATTATAAAAAATGTCCCTTTCGTTTATATATATATCATAAATAAATCAATTTTCATTGTTTTAAATTAGTTTTCTTTCTATAAAAAAAAATGTTTTTGCGAGGTATCTTTCTTTCTTTTCTTTCTTTCTATCTTTCCTTCTTTTTTTTCTAGCTCAAAATCTACCAAAAAGAAAAGATTTTCTATCGATACTTCTTAAGTCAAGGGAAAATTTTGAAATACTTTTCTAAAAAGAATAATGCAAGGAATTTTGATCAAATTTTAAAATTTCGAATCTTTTGTGATTTTCATGGCTTAAAAAAGAAAAATCTTTTTATGATCGAAAAATGACAAATTTATTCCCCCCGGCAAAAGGCTGTAAAATTGAAAAAATTTATATAAATCCTGGGGGGAAAAAATGAGAACCCCGCTAAGGGGTCTAAAATAGAATCTTGGGCGTGCTCGAAATTAATTATATTTTAAGAAGAGGGGAAATTAGAGTAAGAATATTTTTTTTAAATATAGAAAAATTTTTACTTTCCAAGTGGTAGGCTTGGGGAAGCTGGCTGTTGAGGCAATCTAGTTCAGATTTGTAAGGGTACTTGTAAACCTCGGGGGTGTAAATGTAACGAACGTAATCTTTGTCAGGTGTAAACCCGGTCGACTGAAATTTAGCGGGAGTATTTTGGATAATCGGCGATTCGGATAATGTCGAAGTAGTTTCGTAAAACGACGTTTTAATGACATTTTCGGAAAACGACATCTTTCTCTTCAAAAGTGTTTACTTTACGGAGTCGTCGATAACGATATCGCGAAAAATTGGGATAAGTAAGTTGGGAAGAATTTTATCGATTTTACTGAATCTATTCCTGTTCATGAATTCGAGAAAATTCTAAGATTTTTGAAGATCTCTCTCTTTCAACTATCTTTAAGAGATTTATGGAAATAGTTTTTGGTAGTCTCAATCGATTTTGGAATTATGGAGATAATTTAGGGATTTAAACAAGTTAAGTTCTAGGAATTTCTGAAGTTCTAGTACCCCGGTTTTTGAGATGCATTCTGTTGTAGTTTTGTTATATATTTATATATATATATTATGATATGTATGAAATGTCAATATTATGATATGTATGAAATGTCAATCAAAAGTGATCTTTTGAAGGAGTTGGGTTGTAGTTAAAATCAGATGATCTTTTGTTCAAGAGTTTATACTTAATATGTTTATATTATGATTATGATTGTAAGATTAATATAAATTAATGTGAATAAAGTAAATTTTTATGATGCATATATTTGTATTTGTTTCTATATTTTAGAGTATGTGTTAGTGTTAAATGTTTAAAATTATAGATGTATAAAATTTTAGAGTATGTGTTAGTGTTAAATGATTAAAATTATAGATGTATAAAACATACGAATATTTGTCGCGATAAATCAAGGGTTATAACTATAGAATTTATACGTGGAAGTTTAAAAAATATTCATTTAGAGACAAATTCATATAATTTAACAAAGTATTTTAAAACGGAAATATGGGCAGAAATCGGCGAAAAAAAAATAAATAGCTTCAAACAAATTCCTGGACCTAAAAATAAATAAAAAACGCAAGTCAGGCGGATCGACTAAATGCAGTGCCGTTAAAGGTTTGAGTAACTAAGTTAGACATTTTGCGGGGGACAAAAAATAAAAAAATAAATAATAAATTTATCTCCGTTAACTTTTAGCACAACAAAAAAAAAAAAATTGTTTACCCTAAATCTATTCGTCAACAAAAAAAAAATAATATATATATATATAATAAATTTTTACGTGAATTTTTTATTTTATTTATTTTATGACTCATCCATTCAAATTGGAGATCTCGGTCCGCTCCTGTGACGCCAAAAAATTTAAATTTGTTATTTATTGATTTTTGCACATATAAATTTCGAATAATGATCCTCATAGTAGATCCGTAAATCATGGCTCGGCCCGTACCCGGAACGAAACCGGGTCTATTTTTAAAAAATAATTTCGGACCGGGCCGGGTCGGGCTTAAAATTTTCTAAATAAGTATTACATTTTTTTTTCTTTCAAATAAATTTATGTATTTTAAGATTCTCGCAATGAGACAAAGTCATCAAAAAAAATTTTTTTGACATCTTTTACTATATTTAAATTTATTCGAGCCGGACCCAGGTGGACAAATAATTTTTATTTCGAGTCGGGTCGGGTCAGGCCGGCCTCGAAAAATTAGTTCCTACAGATCACTACCTCATTGCGTCTTTTTTTTTTAAAAAAATTGTTTATTTTTGAGTGCGCTAGAATGCCATTGACATTGAAGTTCAGCAATTTTGGAATATTAAAAATGGAATTATTTTAGGCTACTTCGTAATTATAATCGATTTGTAATTTTAGTAAAATACTTAATTTTAATTCACTATATTATATATTATATATACTAGCTGATAGCCCGTCAAGAATGACGTGGAATCAGCTATAATCATTTTTATTGGACAAATACGTTTTAAAAAACACTATTGGCTAAATTTGATTGACGTTTTTTGAGGATTATTATGATAAGATATATATGTAAGCGTCAATATATTTTTTTCCGTCAATGTATTATTTTTTTTTGCGTTTATTATTAAATTTAAAAATCTGATTTTACCGAAAATGTTTTCCATCATGTTTGGAATACCTATCTTATAAATTATAAAACAATTTTGCATGTTAACCCTTGAGTCATTTTTAATTTATATAAAAAATTTATGGGAAATCTAAATATTCCATATATTTTTTATGTGTTGGAATATAAAAAAATAAGAAAATAAATGAAAGAAAGAAAGAAAGAAAGAAAGAAAGAAAGAAAGAAAGAAAAAAGGGAAGGAAGTGAAGGAAAGGAAGAAATGAAATTATTATTATATAGAAAAAATATATATATTATATTATATTTTATAGTATAAAATAAAATCTATAAATCTCAAAAAGAAATTTCGTACATATTATATATATAGCTTAAAGTCAGAGTAATTTTTATTTATAATAAAATAGATAATCTCATACTTTTGAATAATATATATTTAATTTTTTTTTCTACAAGATTTTTCCTGTAAATTCATAAATATTTATGAAGCATAAATCTAAAAATGATTTTGTTTTTTATAGTTTTATATTAAAAAAAAAAACTCCGTGACGATTGAATAATATGTTATAATGGAGAAGACCTGTTCAAAATATGAGTCGAAATAAATAGTGCAACAGAATACAAATTATTTTCGAATAAAATGAATTATTCAAATTATTCGATTAAAATCATTAATCATTTCTACCGATAACCCGTCAATCTGATAGGGATTGGATTAATATAAGGTACATGTCAACTGGGAGTGAAAGATTTTAGCTGTTAGGAACCAATTTGTGTCAAAAAAAAATCGTATGTCTTAGAAAATCAAGAAGAAGAAAAAAAAACAATATGAAGAAAAGCCCCTTGTGTTGGTTTTAAAGTAGTTCGTTACATCATTAGTGAAAGAAATGTGTCAGGTTACCTTAAAAGATGTAACTTGTAAATATGACAAATAATGTTATGAACCAGAATTTGGTTTTTCAGAATTTTTAAACTCAATTTAGAGGATATTTTGATAACAGGGAACTTCATCGAAACAGATTTTCTAAAAAAAATATGTCCGATCCAGCTCCTGGTCCATATTACCCCTGGTTGATGGGTTTTCCATAAATCGGTTTCTATTTAGTCTGTGGTCTCAAAATGCCCAACCAAAATATTCTAAATTTCTGAACCCGAATTCGCGGAGAGATAATATTGGTTAGGGCGAGCTAAAATTTTAAAAGAGTGAAAATGGACAGCCTAAACCTTAAATGTCTTTCTTTTCATTTTTTGAACATTCCGTTAATGATCGGCGAAACATCTGTAATGCGCGTTCGATGGCTAGAGTCGGAGGACCTGAAACACATCCTAGAATTTCCAAGAACCAGTTCCAGAGTCAGGTTTCCCCTAGTGTTGTTAAACGGCTCGATTTTAGCTGATTCTTAAAAACGGCTAACTCAATATTTTAGCCAGAAAAATATTGACTAATTGAGATTTCGTTAATGGACGTTTAAACCTTTGTGTCGTCCTATGAGCAAAATCTTTAAGGTTTGCATAATATATTTCCTAATAAAATATTAAGTTAGCCGTTTTAAAAAATCGGCTAAAAATGATTTAACAACACTAGTTTTCCCGAGCCAGTTCCAACAAAGGTGTAACGTGCAAGTAATTTATAAATTATGTAAAGTCTAAAAAATGTTGTGTAAAAAGCTCGCTTTTTTGAAATAATATTTTCTTTTATGAAAACCTTTTTTTTTGGATCTGAATATACGTTAAATAGTGATCTGCATCGGGCTTAATTTTTCAAGCCCGCGGCCTGAACCCGAAATATTTTTAAAAAAATCGTACCGGCCCGGCCCGAACTCGAAATTGGTCCCGGCCCGGATTTATAAATGTAGAAATAAATTTTTATAAATAACTCAAAATAAAGGATATGTGTTATATGACCGTCTAATCTCTATAAATAAAATCAAATATTTTTTATTTTACATAAAAAATTCAACATGAAAATTGATAAAATTTAGATATATTTAAATAAATTTCTAATCCGAATTTTCTTAAAAAATATTAGGCCCGACCCAACCCGAACCCAATTTTTTTAAAGCTAGTTCGAGCCGGGCCGGGATCGGGCCGGGTACCAGTCGGGCCAACATACGCTGATCTCTAACGAAAAATTTATAAAACATATCAAATCAATAATCATTTCTCATTTTAAAATAATAAATTAAAATAACTATAAAACATAAATTCTCGTCAACTTTTATTTATTCCCATCATTCTTTCTTAATCTTGATAGAAAAAAAATAAAATCCAAAAATTACAAAAAAATTAATATTTGTTTCGATTAAAATAAAACTAAATTTATATATTTTTAGAAGGTCATTTTTTTTTAAAAAATAAATATATATTTGTCTAAAATATCAAAAAATTTGTCATTCTTATTTTATTTTATTTTTAAAGATAATAAAGGATATATTAAATAAAATATTTTATAATTTATTTATCTTGGAATTAGTTGATCAACACACTAATGTTTGTTAGACGGCTAGTTTTGAGCCTATTTTTTTAAAAACGGCTAACTCGATATTTTAGCCAGAGAAATATTTCCTAAGCCTCACAGGATTTCGATGATATTATATGTCTAGAACCTTTGTTTTCCTTCTACGAGCAAAATTAGTGTTGTTAAACGGCTCGTTTTGAGCCAATTTTTTAAAAACGGCTAACTCAATATTTTATCCAGAATAATATTATGCAAGCCTAAAGATTTTGTTTGTAGAAGTAACGAAGGTTTGAAACATTAGCGAAATCCTGAGGTTTAGGCAATATTTTTCTGGCTAAAATATTGAGCTAACCGACACTAAGCAAAATCTTCAGGTTCAGGTAATATTATAAATTGAAATTCGATTCTTGTTATAGTAAATCCTTTGAGCAGCATTTTTGTAACCCCAATTAAGGAGGACAGATAGGTTAGAGCAGAGGACGAATAGTCACTTATGAAAACTTTGCGATTTTGAAAGGATGAAGAAGGAAAAAAAAATGAACTTTAATCATATTTTGTAATTCACGAAAGAACTCCCCTTGAATGGTATACTAGGGGCTTAGCAACATGCCAGAGATTTTTTAATTCTTTTCTTTATTTCTTCCTTCCTTCCTTCCTTCCTTCCTTTTTTTCTATCTATCTACCGTTCACTAGAAACCTGTAGAAATTTACATTAATTTTTATCGAAAAATTTTTTGGAGTACATAATCATTTGAGAAAAAAATAATAAATCATTATTTAAATACAAATTTAAGTATCTCAAATATCCATTTTTAGACACTTTTCATATAAATATTTTTTTTAGCATTTAACAGTTTTAAAATCGCTGTAATTTATTTTGATATTTTTCTTTCCACCTTACCACTACTCAAAAAGTTTCTTGATTTATTATATATATAGTCATCAAAAATATTCGTTTTTTTATTTGAATAAAAA